CAGGCTCAAACCTGCTTAACTTCCCAAATCTGATGAGATGGGACTTATTGAATATGATTTGGTCGAGGATGATGAGGCACGGTGTTGTTTGTGTTGCAGCCATCGTGATTGGTGGGGGGACGAGGCCCAGTGGCTTTGTCCTAGTTGGTTCCCACCGCCTCTGCCTCTCCTCTGTCGGGAAAGCCAAATTTCCACTGGAAAAGGTAACTCATGAAAGTGGCTATAATTCGAATCACTCCTAGCCGTTGCAAACTCAACCTTATGCTTTATTTATTGCTCACACAATCATCATTACAATTATACACGTGTTGGATTAATAAGGTGCTTTGCCTCAGGTGCAGCGAATGTCGCCCCTGGAGGGAAACGTCTATTTGAAGTTCCAGTGCCGCGTTGACTCGAGTGTGGAGGAGCGAGGCTTCTTGGTACGACCTTTCTGTGTGCCCCCACTGCTTTCTTAAAACCACAAGCATCATTGCTGCATAAGTTAGTATTGGTGTTAGTCATACATGTGCTCAGTGTAGGGGCTTGCAAAGTGATAACCAAAATGGTTCGTGCACTGTGTTATTATAATTTCACTTGTTTACCCAGGGAAGCCTGACCTGAGTGCTTCTCATTCCAGAGGTTCCTGCCAATGATTCCAGTAGTTCTGATTTGATTCCTGGCCATGCATATTGTACACTGGGTTGCTTCAACTGGTGATGAAGCATGGCTATATGTAGCCCGGTAAGGCTCTTGGAGTGGCCTGCTGAGCTATGATCTGCCGAGACGTAAACTGATACGTATAAGCGAGATGAAGAGTTAAAGGGGAGGAGAGACACCGTTTGAGACGAGAGGCCAAGATTATTACTCGCATGTACAGGCGTTCTTACGTAATAACGTCATATGACATAACGGCTGCACACGTGACCTGAGTCCACCAGCACACGTAAATGTTATTATGTGGCCCGCCAAACAATTGTCTGTGAACCCTGTTGTAAACCGTTGCAAATTGGTACTGAACTTTCTCTGGACCTCTTGTAGTTCACCTCAGCCTAATATGACCATCTGGTGCAGCCTCAGTAAATAAACACTGGTGAGATAAAAATTCAAGCCTGGTCGAAAAATTTTCATAAAAGTGCTTGCTCCATCAGATTATACAACAAATGGAAAATCTTTGTGTTCTGTGTGCTGTGGTGCAGACGATGTTTGAAGAGGTGAGTGGGTTTGGAGCATGGCACCGGCGTTGGTGCGTGCTGTCCGGCAATTGCCTCTCCTACTGGACCTATCCAGATGATGAGAAGAAGAAGGTGGGTCCTTATGCATTTTCTGATATCTAAGTATCGTGTAGATAATTAGCAGATCATCAGTATGCATGTGTATATGTGGAGTATTCCTCCTAAACCACTCTAGTGGAGGGATCAGAGTGATGTGGTCTAGTTTATGGGTGTGAGTGAGGAATTGTCAGTGGAATTGGATTTATTAGTGCAGTACGACCTTGTCATACAGTATAGCAATCTCAGGCAGCTCCTGCTTGCACCCCACGCTTGTGCCGGGCAGGATCCGATGGCACGTGTGAACCTGGCGACCTGCGTGAACCGGCTCGTGGAGCCCGTGGACCGCGAGTTCTGCGCGCGCCAACACACGCTGGAACTGGTGACGGTGCGCTCCCAGCACCCCAACGACCGCGAGACCCTCACCACGCACATGCGCAACCGTCAGTGCGTGACCAAGTAAGTTCAATAGCAGTGGCGTGACGGTGGCACCACTTCCATAGCTAATGCACCACCGAGACCGGCAGCAGTAGCTGGCTCTCATTCCTGATGTCACGTCATAGAACTTAAGCGACCGCATATGGGCAGTGTTGAACAAGCAAGCATGGATAGAAAACCCTTCACTGTTGTTGGTACGACTGCCTTATAATTGTGTAAAAGGATGTGGCCTTGTATATTCTTAAATATTAATCTATATATGTCACTGTTGTGCAAGTGCTAAAGATAATGGTGCTGATGTTATTGCCTTGAGTTTAAAGTCTTAGATGAACTACAGGTTCAATTAGTGTGCATTGGCAGTATATTGATCAGTGCAACTAGTGTGTGTTACTCTTTCGATTTAAAGCTTTCGTGACTGCAATGATTCATCTTCTTTGGTTCTTTCGGTAAAGTCACGTAGAATGATAATAAAATAATAAATTGATAAAATAAAATAACACAATAATATTCTCACGACGTTTCGGCCACAACACAAGCGGCCTTCATCAGGTGAAGGGGGGCGAGACTGTCTGGTAGGACAGCGCTGGAGTGAAAGAGCCACGTTCAGATAAGGCCGTATCTGAACGTGGCTCTTTCACTCCAGCGCTGTCCTACCAGACAGTCTCGCCCCCCTTCACCTGATGAAGGCCGCTTGTGTTGTGGCCGAAACGTCGTGAGAATATTATTGTGTTATTTTATTTTATCAATTTATTATTTTATTATCATTCTACGTGACTTTACCGAAAGAACCAAAGAAGATGTGTGTTACTCATGAATTATATGATCACGTTGCCACCGCTTTTTAGTCATCAAGCCACCTAAGGTACCTGAATCTTGACAATCTCAACATGCCACCTCGAACCAGGGCAAAATGCAGTGACTGACACTGGCTCTCTTGTGGTGGGTGTTAGGAACTGGCTATCGGCAGACTCGCGGGACGAGAGGAACCTGTGGATGGAGAAGTTCAACCAGGTGCTGATTAATTTACGCACCTGGCAGCCCGAGGCCTGCGCCGGGGCTGCCACTCGCTGAGCTCAACCACAGCTGTCGCCAATCATTTAGCTGAGACACTACCCTGGCCTAGCCGGACCTGAGTGAGTGGAGAGAAAAGTACCCCCTGGTGTTTGAGCCTGTGTGGGCTCAATAGCCAAGGGGGGGTACTCGCTATAGTTGGACTTAACCAACTGTTGTATAGACTCAGCCCGATTTGGCCAAACATAGCCTTACCAAACATGACCTGGCCTGAGATTGTTGCAGCCTTTATTTCGCAAAGCTTTCTGTTGGCCAGGCGTTGCAGAGCCACTTGTAATCAACGGTGAACTGTTATACTTGCCGAGCAGACATTGCTTTTTTTGTGCACATTTACGAGTGGTTTAGCTTGAAACTGTAGTTGATGGGAAGATTGGACAACCCATGTGCATACATCATGGATACGGGACACGATGCACTGCTGCCTTGATGATGATTCATAGCTGTCACACGTGCTTGGGGCTCACAAAGATTGCTAAAATTATGCCTGCATCACGTGTGCTTTGCTGCTAACTTATGCCGTGTACACGGGGGTATCGGGGCTAAGCTTGGCCAACTTTGGCTGAGCTAGACCTGTGTGGTTCACCATGGACACTCCCGTGTGCCTCGGATGCTCCCTGCTGTCAGGGCATCTTGCTCCACATTGGACACGTTTTCTGTCTTTACTGTGCTTGGATAGTTTTTTTTTACAAAGTATACAATTATTCACAGCGGCAGTATTACAGTAGTATACTGCAGCTCAAGGCTGATGGTCCTTGAGATCTTTTTCTATTTGTGTTTTCAAAACTCTTCCAATTATATTGACATGCTAAAAGGTGAAATGTCCATAGTGTTGTGTTTCAGTGCCAAGCTCACTGCTTTTGAACCTATGAGTAACAGATAAATCTCATTTGCCATATATATTTGACTGGATATGGTTTGCGATAACCCACATGAGCGTAAATTCAAAATTTATACTTTTGCAAAAAATTACAATGGTAAACCTTTGCACTAATTTACGCGCGCTGTAACATGTACAGGACTTGAAACTTGTGCACACCTTTCATACTTGGTTTTGCACAGGAGAAGCCATGTAAATGTCCACACAATATGCACTCGACCGAATATTCTGCAAAGCACATACGTTTAACAATTACTTGCTGTGTACAACCACATTTAATTATTGCATGTGGCTTTGGGTGTGCAGATATATATTTAGTGGGGAGCGGTAGGGCAGTGGTTGGTGTGCGTCGCTACGAACCTTTTCACCTGAGTTCAATTCCTGCTCACGGCCAACACCAGTTACAATTATCTGAACCGGTCTTGGGCCTCCCCTAGGTCATCTTGGCCTCAAATGAGTACCTGGCGCAGTGTGTAAAAACATTGGCACTGCGAAGAAAGTTGGTCGGGCGAAATACTGGCCCCACCCCCTTGTGTGCCGTGCCGAACTTCATTGGTGCTTGCTTACGGCACTTGCCCCAACAGTTTTCAGGCTATACAGGGGATATTTTTCTTTGTCTTTTGCAGGTATATTTTAATACGATTTGGTAATATGCATCTGAAGCATGAAATTCCATAAACAGCTCTCCTATGCATTGACTGAGATTAGTTAGTACAGACAGAAAATCAGTGAGGTGGAGTATGTGTAATTTATAAATCCGCTGCCGCATGACATTTACCAATCTGTTTACTCACTTTTGGTACAGGAATAAATTGGGCTAAGTGTCCGATCACACAAGGTTTACAAGTGTGGTCTTAGTATTGAATTTATCTGCGAATTCTGTCGACTGAATCCAAACGTGTTAAAGCTAGGTGGCACAAGATGTTTAGATGTTTTAGAAAAAACAAGTACAGTGGAAACATTGAGCAAATACTAATGGGTTCAGATTTTAAAAAATAAAGTATACTGCTTGCCGATTAAATATAACCTTTATACTTATATAGCATTTAAGATATACAATAACTTTTGTCATTTTGTCCTGTCCTTTTAAATGTTTTAAATAATCTCTTGTTGGTAAAAAAAATCAGTCTTTATAGAACAGTGGCCGTCTTCTATGTAGATTCCTCAAATAATTGTTTACCTGAATTGTAACTGCTTGAAAAAGAAATAAATGCTGTTTTACATCCAAATTGTATGCTGTGCTTTACTGCACTGAGCCTCGTGTGAAAATCACAAATTTAAACCTGCAGTATGCCCCTACTAATGGTTTTATTGTACCATAACTACACAAGCCACCATAAAAACCACAATACATACATGACAACTATGATACATCTGAATAGCTTTAATGGAATGTTCCAGTTATTGTACAAAAATATCATAAATACGATATTCATACACTTCGATAATTTTCAAATCAGTGCCTAGTTATTTTTTACAATATGGCCACCAAGTTTTAAATTAACGTATTTCCATAAGACAAAAACAACTGTTTTTGATCACATTCAAATATGATAATAATCGTAAATTAACTTAAAGGTTATAAATATGCACTTCCAGAAAACTTATCTTCACGTAACAAAACACAAACAATATGGACCATAGACCAACAGTGGCCATTTAATGCCGTTCATTTCAAATTACTGTACGCACTTGTTTATTGAACAGCACACATGGCCTCACTAATTTATTCCATCTTTAAAGGATCACATTGCTCACTAAAACTTACATTTCAGTGTATATGTGCGAATGTGATCGAGACGTCCATCTCCTACATAGTAGCCCAGGGACAGCTCCACAATGGTAAGATTGCACGTTGTGTATTATACTGCTGGTACGCACTCATCCCATGAAAACACTTGGCTGTGGAGAACCCATAACTGCAGTATATACTGTGCAAGTATTGTTGCGTTGTAATTGTATTAACCTTTTTAGAGCCATGCGTATGTCAAATGTGTTACCTTGCAGTGAGAGTGGAGATGGAAAAGTGATGGATTCAATGCAGCAGCATTGTGGTCTGTTTCCATATTTTGCCACTAGATAACACATATCGTGTGTACCCTTGCAACCAAAATCACAATTGGTCACGTGAAGTAATGGAACCGGCGCACCAGATCCTGAGATGCAAATGGCTGTAAAGGGGTTTTACAAAAATCATACTGTTTTGACAATGACACTGGGTAGATATGACAATTCTTATAAACACATCTGTCATTGTTTGATTTTTTCAAGTTTCCTGAAATGCCAATTCTATAAACAGCAAACGGTTGATGGTGCCAAGGGGAGTGCTCAAATTAATTTAATGGCCATAATACAATGATTTTTTTTTGTCAATTTTCACTGGCAATAGGATTTGCCCAAATCTCAACAATTTGACCATTGCTCCCCCGAGTGGGAAACTGGGATGACACTTTCCGATCAATCAAAGGCAGTTTACATGACCATCAAAGGTTAGGTGCACTTTGTATACCAATCATTGCACATGAACCATAGTTTTCAAGACTTTTTATTGACTACACAATCTCCCATCACTGTCACTGCCGTACCAATTTGCTATAGTTGCTCATAATTGCGTTGCCAGTTAGGATTGCCAGAGAAAATTGACTAATTCGCCCTCGTGATTCACTGCCTTAAATTTAAGAACCTCCCCTGCCACTCAAAGATATTTTAAATAGTGAACACGAGGGCAATGTTATTAATTAGAGCCCCTTAGTTCCCTCCTGTCTGTAGAACTGCCATCACCAGCACGGTGATAAGGATATGCCAAGCCTATCGCTTGGTCATGTCACCGTCACCTTGCGCAAGCGCTTATTGGGAATATCCAGGGCTCCCACCCTCAAAGGCCATGCCCCTGCCAACACACCGGCCTGCACGGCCACACCTGTCACCACGGCCAGCTCGGGGTCCACGCTCGTGTCGGGCTCCGAGCCGAAGTAGTCCGCCAGCATGCGGCGAACACGCGGGATGCGCGTCGAGCCGCCCACCAGCACAACGCGGTCGACCTGAGGAAGGGGCAGATTGGGGACTCGTTTCAAGACAGGACGAGTCACGATCCAAATACAACTGGTCGAGAATCTTGCACCAAAATACAATATCTCGCAGGGTAAGTGAGCCACTTTACACTTGTAAGTCTGGTTTCCAAGATGAATATTTTAATATTTCACCATGGGTCCTTCAAACAAAAACAATTGGAAGCACAACGTAGATGCCAAAGTAGTTGCCACAATTGCTAGTCAAAGTCCCAGTGGCATCTACAAAAGTTGGCCATTATTTCAGTTAAAATTTAATATGTAAAATTACCCATAATAAAACGGGAAAATTACTGCCCCCATTAACCCACAACTCTCTTCACTAATGATCAAATTGTATAAAACAAAAAAATAGTTGTTTTAGTGGACCTCGCTTATCTTTTAGAAGAGACGACAAGGTCCATCCCAGTTGCCTTAGGCCCCTTGATGGTTGTCCTACGAACATTAAAGTCCTCCTGAGCATGTATCTCTTTGGAAAGTAGAGTTCCCTGGAGGTTTGAAGATTCCACCCGTGCGCTGTTTTGCATGGCTGTGGGGTTCTGGTGCTGACCTGCTTTGCGACGAGCCTTCCGGACCTCAGCACCTCCACAATGGGCTCCATAACCTTCTGGAAGAGATCTTCATTCAGCGATTCGAACTCCTGGCGCGTCACCGTCTCATCCATCTCCACAGTGTTATGTGTACCCTGGGGACAAAGTGATCACGTGTTACTCCAAACTTGTCTTTATTGTTATGCTGCTAAAAGCTAAGAAACTTTACAATTGTGTATAAGCTTACAAATATGAACAAATTCACATTCATCAATGACAATATAATCAGCTCGCTGCTCTGAAGGCCTATTGCTCAATGTCAGCCTATTATATATTTTCTATTTAAGGCAGTGCTATTAATAAAGAGGGTGATACTTTTGGCGTTTAAACTGCCACTACAGTTAACATTTTCATCTAATTTTGTTGGTGTTCATCCCTAATGGTCGCCCTTTGGAACCAGTCTCGTGACAGTACTGAAACATTTGTTGTCGTAAAAAGTCGTCCTCTTATCAAGTCTGGAAAGATGGACCAGGTCAACCTCCAACTGGGATGTGAACTCTACCTTCCAAATGATAGTCCATCACTGCCACGGCACCAGTGGCTGGTTTGATTAACATTAATATCACAACTGATTTATTGACAGACGTTCACTATTGTGCTTATAATTTGAGAAAGTATTGGTAATCCATGAAACACGTTTTAAAGGGCCTTTTGCCTGTCCAAGGACGGGTGTATTGCAGTAAATGTGAAACTTTCAAGCGAAAAGCAGACCGCAACGTGATATTCATTGCATCAATGCGAGTAAAATTTGTAAGGCCGTGGTGAGACATTTCATTTAAAGGTTATAATCCCTTGTTCATCATGACATCCTTTTTACTTCGATGTCTCAACAGCGTCATGGAGATCACGGGACGTGAGGGTTCTGCCTTTGTAGTGAGGGTTATAAGTTGATGCTGAGGGGGGAGGCGCCTCATCCCCATGTAGGTGCCTCATCCCCATGTAGGTGATGTCATCCGCTAATTATTATGGAGGGGGGTGTCCATTTGGAGGACGTCACCTGTTCATGATTATTAATGAGGGGGCTATTTGATGTGGAGTGACGTCACCTGCTCCTGATTATTATTATTATTATTATGGAAAGATGGGGGGGGTCCATGTGGTGGACGTAACCTGTTCATATTTTTTAATGAGGGGGGCTGGTCGACGTGGAGTGACATCACACACAGGGCACACACATTGGCTCATTTTTAATGGTGTGATTTGTTGGTTGTGCTTACCCATTTGAAGCATCTTTTGATCAATGACTGAATCAAGATATTTTTCTAACCTTCATCTTACTACTTCTACTGATGTATTAAAGATGTTTGTCCATAAATTAACTTTTAACTTGAGACCAAAAAATAGCACATGTGCATTCCCCCCCGTGCACAGTGGTCTCCTGATGTACACAGCAGGGCCGGCATGAAGAGTAGAGGGGCCACAGTGGCAAGATGTTAACTACCTCGCCTCGTATGCAGGAGGTCATGGTTGGTTCCCAACACTAACGCCTGTATATTTGAAGTTTGCATGTTCTCCCTGCAGTCGCATGCATTTTTCTTTGGATCCTCCGGTTTTTCCCTCCACATTTTAGAAACACGCATTTTTGTATGCTATGAATTTCCACATGACAAAGCCACTTCGTTGAGCTATCATTTGTGGCCAGGTCGCTTTTGAAAAAGAGCTATGGTAAAATAAAAATAGTCTATAGTTTAGTTTAGAGTAAATATACAATAGCTGTGAGCTCCGTACATTGTCGGGCATGAACACCAGCGAAAGGCGGAGCGACACGCGTGCCCTGTCGTTGTGCGTCAGCTCCAGCTTGGCCATCTCGGCCGCCTCGCGTAGGAGCTGCGTGTCGGCACGGCCCCAGGGTCGGCCACCACCGTGCCGGTCAGCCAGCCGCCCTGTCAGGTGCTCCACCAGCCGCTGTGTGAAGTCTTGCCCGCCCAGGTGATTGTTACCTGCACAGGAGTGGGTGGACGGGGGAAGGGAATGCAAGCACAGGTAGATTGATGCAACACACACTCGAAAAGATGTTCCAATGCACACACAAATACACACAAGGTGGATGGGAAGTTCCTATATCCATGTCTTAAAAGCCGACATGGAATCGGAGACATAAAAGTGTACAGGGATTTCCCGCCCACACTGTACAAAACATCGTGATGCAAAACACCACACATGCATGTACAATGCATGGATACACATGCAACACACACTCACATGGACAACACATCAGAACTTTAACACCAACACATGAACACTGGCCATTCAGTTGCATCGGATCTGCAGTGCATGCACAAGTTCAGTTGGCGCACAAATTAAGTTTGCGCGCGATTTGTAGATCCATATGTATGTATGTTGAACTACTTTCCCACTGTACGAAGGCAATCGTGCTAATGGGCTCGGTGGTTCTGTCTCTCTTGCTGTATAGATGTGCATCTGCAGTCGTGTGGAACACTTTCTTTTGATATTAGGAAGCCACAGAAGCTATGCACTTTGGTATCTAGATGGGAAAACTCACTTCTTGAGGTCTGCTTTTTGGATTCAGTTTGTTGTCCTTCCCCCGCACCTCCGATTAACACGGTTTGCCACGTAGGGTGCGAAAGAAGTTCAACATACGTACGTAACTCTCCGTTTATATTTCTTTCATTTAGTTTTGTCTCCTGTTATTCCGTTTTTGTGTTAATTGTTTAACTTTTCGGATAGTATCAATCCAGGCCGACTGCGAGTCCATTGCAGCACACACCATAAATACAATAACAGACTCAAATATCTAACATTAAAAACCAAAGTAAAATCTCTAAACATTCATTCTAAAACACTTTCCACGTGTTTTTAATGTTTTATAGTGTTGGTTATGTGTTAGTATATTATGTTCATGACTTATAGGCTTTTTTATTATTGCAGCAGCTTGCCAGACTTTTCACATCGCTGGACCGGGGCTCCCCTAACCCAGCTCGTCTGGGGTTTTATGGTATACACAATCATTAAGAAGCCAACAAAATGTGACCTGGTAACTCAAACTATTTAAAACATCAAAAGACTGCCGAGCAGGTTAAATTGCAACTTTTATTAGGGCCCATTACACCGTTACTGCTGTGGTTACGGGTGAATGCTGGTGGGACCAGTTTTAATTAACCTATTATCGCAGTTATGGCATGCTGCCTGTTTCCAAGAGTGCAATTAGTGGTTAAGGAGGGGCTCGCAAGATCACACTTTGAGCTGTAAAAATCCCAACAGCGCCACAGTTTGTTGCACAGGAAGTCTCTTCCACCTGGACAATGCTTAGATGGCACCGTGGTGAGTTCAACAGGATTGTTGCACGTGTGCGATGATGTTGCTGAATAGGCCACAGTAAGGTTCACTGTTGATTCTGTTAAGGCTAGGACTACATTTGAGATGCATTATGTATATCCTTTGTGCAGGTTAGGCTAAAAATCGCCTTGCAAACCCCAAATTTAAATCAGAAATTTTTTTATTTTTTAGATAAATTAGTATGCACACATGCTAATGTCCTATCAGACCACAAACTTTGAGGCCTATTTTATTTTTGTATATTGCTCTAAATGGTTGCGAGTACACCTGTAATGCCTTTTGGGTTTAAATGCTGGATTGTAATTCAATGGGCTCTCTGATCAACGGCTGTCCAAAATGTTGAGAGACAAAGGTGGCTGGGCATACACCATGCTGCCAGTATTGTGTACGAGCGTGCGTCTGGGAGAGGTGGCACGTACCCGCCATAGCGCGTGTGAAGAACATGCCACCCTGCTTGGTGAGCAGCGACACGTCCGTGGTGCCACCGCCGAGGTCGACAACCAGCACGGAGCTGACGCTCTCCTCCTCGTGCAGGCCGTACGCCAGCGCGGCAGCCGTCGGCTCGTTCACCACGCGCAGCACCTCCAGGCCTGCGGGCGAACACAGCCACATGCCCCTCTCCGTGTACGTGGGCAACAGTTGAGGATAGAGGGCAGCTATCCCCATGGTAAAGGTAAAAGGATTCTGCTGTGGTGTTGGTGTAGGGCTGAATAAATTAAGCGCCATTATCAATTGGTATACACAGCGATGATCTTAAGAGCGCTCGACTTGCAATTGCAAGAATGCAAGTTAAAATTTCGGTTATTAGATGACTCGGACCATCACCCATTTGGAATTGATATATTGGTTAAAAAAAATGTTTGGACGTCGACAGTTAAATCTATTTCGATATACAAACCTCTACTGCAATAATCTTCTGTACTATCCATAGTGCCAGCATGCGACACACAGCAACGCTCGCCCCTTAAGACAGCTCTCGTACCAGCCATGGTTGCCGCCTTGATGGTGCTGTTGCGCTGTCGTTCGTCAAACTCTGCGGGCACAGCGAGCACGGCGTACCGCACAGGCAGGCCCAGTCGCTCCTCGGCCAGGAGACGCAGCTGATCCAACATCTGCGCGCCCACCCACTCCGGGGTGACGGTCTGCTCCGCACCCCCGTGTCCCCGCAGCACGAACACCACCTCCCCGGACACCTGCCGCACCTGCTAAGCCGCACGACCCCATTGTCGACTTGCTTAGTTACAGACATCCATTCATGAATCTCGGCTCATTCATTTATTGGTTAATGTATGCCAGCTCTTCAGCTAGGTACATTCTCTTGTCACAGATGATGTCACAGGGAAGTCGATTCTTATGCTCACGATATGTGCATGAATTCACGTTCGTAATAATCTACTGCATACGATTCACGAATATACATGCAAATGTTACCTGCAGGCTACAGAAACAAGATAAGCAAATACAGATAAGATGGAACAGCGCAAGCACCACATACAGCGAGGGAAAAAAGTATTTGATCCCCTGCTGATTTTGTATGTTTGCCCACTGACAAAGAAATGATCAGTCTATAATTTTAATGGTAGGTTTAAATGCAAATCAATTTTATAAATTGATTTGCATTTTAATGAGGGAAATAAGTATTTGACCCCCTCTCAATCAGAAAGATTTCTGGCTCCCAGGTGTCTTTTATACAGGCAACGAGCTGAGATTAGGAGCACACTCTTAAAGGGAGTGCTCCTAATCTCAGCTTGTTACCTGTATAAAAGACACCTGCCCACAGAAGCAATCAATCAGATTCCAAATTCTCCACCATGGCCAAGACCAAAGAGCTCTCCAAGGATGTCAGGGACAAGATTGTAGACCTACACAAGGCTGGAATGGGCTACAAGACCATTGCCAAGCAGCTTGGTGAGAAGGTGACAACAGTTGGTGCGATTATTCGCAAATGGAAGAAACACAAAAGAACTGTCAATCCCCCTCGGCCTGGGGCTCCATGCAAGATCTCACCTCGTGGAGTTGCAATGATCATGAGAACGGTGAGGAATCAGCCCAGAACTACACGGGAGGATCTTGTCAATGATCTCAAGGCAGCAGGGACCATAGTCACCAAGAAAACAATTGGTAACACACTACGCCGTGAAGGACTGAAATCCTGCAGCGCCCGCAAGGTCCCCCCTACTCAAGAAAGCACATATACATGCCCGTCTGAAGTTTGCCAATGAACATCTGAATGATTCAGAGGACAACTTGGTGAAAGTGTTGTGGTCAGATGAGACCAAAATGGAGCTCTTTGGCATCAACTTAACTCGCCGTGTTTGGAGGAGGAATGCTGCCTACGACCCAAGAACACCATCCCCACCGTCACACATGGAGGTGGAAACATTATGCTTTGGGGGTGTTTTTCTGCTAAGGGGACAGGACAACTTCACCGCATCAAAGGGACAATGAACGGGGCTATGTACCGTCAAATCTTGGGTGAGAACCTCCTTCCCTCAGCCAGGGCATTGAAAATTGGTCGTGGATGGGTATTCCAGCATGACAATGACCCAAAACACACGGCCAAGGCAACAAAGGAATGGCTCAAGCAGAAGCACATTAAGGTCCTGGAGTGGCGAGTTGCCAAACGTCAGCCTCGAAACCTTAATGACTTGGAGAAGATCCGCAAAGAGGAGTGGGACAAAATCCCTCCTGAGATGTGTGCAAACCTGGTGGCCAACTACAATAAACGTCTGACCTCTGTGATTGCCAACAAGGCTTTTGCCACCAAGTACTGTCATGTTTTGCTGAGGGGTCAAATACTTATTTCCCTCATTAAAATGCAAATCAATTTATAACATTTTTGACATGCGTTTTTCTGGATTTTGTTTTTGTTATTCTGTCTCTCACTGTTCAAATAAACCTACCATTAAAATTATAGACTGATCATTTCTTTGTCAGTGGGCAAACGTACAAAATCAGCAGGGGATCAAATACTTTTTTCCCTCACTGCAAGACACAGCAAAAACTAAACAGTGCAGCACAGAATATAACCAAGCGAGTACAAACATACACAAAATAATTTATTCGCTAATCAAATCATATTCCCACGCTAATCGCAGGGAAGGGGGGGGAGCTTCCGTCGTTACGCACGGAGCCAGCGCTCACCGTGAACTGGTAGCGCCCGGCCTCACGCTCCAGCTCGCCAGGTGAGAAAGCACGCCCGATGAAGCGCTTGGCGTCGTAGAGTGTAGCGTGCGGGTTGTCGGCCGCCTGCTGCAGCGCGGGAAAGCCGGCAAGGACACGGCCGTCGGAGCCCGCGGCCACGACGCTGGGGAAGGCACGTCGCCCGTCCGCGTCGGCCAGTACCTCCACCTGCGCGCCGTGCGGATATAACGGGACCACCAACCATGCCTGAGTATAACACTCTCGTCTAAGAACAAAGTGGCTGCGTTTGTGTCCTGTGTTTCCGTTCATGACTGATGGTGATGTGCATTGCTGGTTCAGGCTGTATGGTACAAACCTGCAATATAGATGTTTACGAATGAGCCACAGTGTGAGCAACAGTTACTTCATCTGCCCTGTGTGGACTAATCCTAATATGAATACCTGGAGTGGAAATTATACATTTACATGGGAAAATTGGGGAGACAAATGTGACTGGGTGTGGCGCTGTAAGTTTCATGGATCGCATCTGTTGATCAAGATGCCTGCAGGAGGCTATACAGCTAATTGTTTGACCCAAGAGTGTGACATTTGTACATGTGGATTTTCCTCGGACAATTTGTATTATTTCCACAAAACGAGATACTCAACTTATTCGGTCATTCGTTCCAAATTAAGACTTTTGTAAATTTCCTTACTCAGTGGTGCATTTTCTGGATTGTCCAATCTGGTTTCATTTTGGTGGCGATCCACATACACCTAAATGAGACAATTCTCAAAAGTTTTTCTCCCAATGTTCCAAAAGGATATCCTCATAGTATGTATTACTCATTAAGGTTTTTATGAATGACCCACAGCTACAAAATAAATTGACCAGAACGCCTCATGTTTAAGGAATAACATTAATATATTGGTGGAGTGCTCTGTCCATTACTATATTTGCACTGCCATCAGTGGGTATTCTGTTGGACTTAATTGGTCCCTCCAACATTTAATGACAAACTCAGGTGCCTTCAGGTAGATCCATTCCTGTATAGCACATAGTGGGTTCAAATTTCTGTTTTTCTACAGGAAGTGGTGTTCATTTCAGTGTCTAGTACTTGTAAAATGTATGGCATAGATACTAATTTCACTTATGGCGGTAAAATATAAATACCCTTACTTTTTCAAATGTATGTATTTGGGAGAGTTAAGGAGAACGAGATTTCGAAAATGTGTACAAATATGTCTACTTTTAATTTAGTGATTGTCCATATGCTAAAGCAGTAACGGTTTTCATACGAAATAACACACCTCCCCCACTCCAGCATGGTACACCCCGATTGAGCAGTACGTGGTGCCCAGGTCGATACCAACTATTCGAGGCTTTGGTGGGGGCAGGTACTGCTGTCCAAGGTAACCGGCAAGAAGCAGGGCCAAGACCGCCATGCCTGTAAAAGGAGACACAATTGCGATGACGTGACAATGCTGGGTACATTTACTACATATCTTAAATGTTTTATGCTTTAGCAAATTAATGTTTGTACTCTTGTCAAGATGTCATGCTCTGGGAGAGTTTAGCCAAAAGGAAACCAATGACTCAACATTTGCACAATACAGAATAACCATATTCTAACATCAAATGACCAATATTTGTTTCGTATCAAGATACGTATCGGGAATTATTTTGTGACAGTGCACGTCCCAGTAAAGGTAACTGTGATACATAAATGGCACTGGTCAGATATAAAGAGAAATAAGCACGACAGTCCACACGGTTAAGTGACACGGGTAACAGAGACATTGCAGACATTACAGGGATGTAAAGTGTAATGCACCTGATGGGTGTCACGTGAAAGGCACTACATTAATAATCCAAAGTACAACGTGGGTTGTTTTTAATAGCGACTGCAAGGCACAGATATTGCAAGGCTAGTTAGAGCAACAAGTGTAAAAGTCACAAACATGGAACACACGCAAAAGGCAATGTGACATATCGGGAAAAGGGTACTACAAACATGACAAGGCTGCACACGAGCAACAGCGGTGATTTTACACAGAGGTGCGTCACAGGCTATCTTTGGGTCTTTTGCATGAGGCAACATGAGAAAATGGCTATAACATCTGACGCGTAATTGGTAATGTGACGTGTAAATAGCTATTACGCATGACACATGTAAGAGGGACTTGATACATTCCAGGCTATATACAAGGATATATGATAACCGATATAACAAGTGCAATAGGCTATGTCACGATACACTCCGCTACTCTCGAGGCTATTATCTGGCTCCAACACCTGTGTAAAATTCCAAGCTGTTACTCAACACCAGCCATACATTCGAATACGTCAGGATGTAATTAAGGATGAGGGTTTTCGGCCACAACCGTTTGGAGGGAATGACGAATGAGGGAGATGTTGCGCATCCCGAGGAGGGCAGAGTTGAAATCATAATCTGTATTTGTACTGGGGGAATCCGATGAGCTGTAATTCTCTTCACAGATGTCCACATGTGGAAAGAACGAGGGCTCGGCCCTCAGTGTGCACGCAATGGTCTCGCATGTTTCCAGTGTGATGTCAACAAGGTCGACTTTCTCTCCAAAATTAAATATTTTCTAACGATTTTTTTTCTTCTTTCCCGATGAGGAGTATTGTACTTAAGTTGTCGTCAATATATATAAAAGTTGGAAGACTCAAGATGAGACGGCGTCAATGAAAGCTATTGAGAGTGGATTATGGCGGCAGAGTTTCAAGGAGTCGTTGACGACATTGAGCCGGGTGTCATCGGCATGAAGGACTGACTGAATGCTCGACGTTAAAACCGTAGATGATATTGCCAACTTGAAGGATATATAATGAAGAGCAGTTGGGCAAAGGGTGGAACCTCGTATAGACACCAGGGCACAGGGATTTCTGAGCAGTCCTAGTAGTGTGAACACGTTGAAGTGTGTCGGAGATGCCTGCACGACTCTGGAGGCGTTCAGGGAGTTTGGAGCAGGAGTGTGTAATCGGCATTGACACGCGTAATAGTCGCGAGAGACATCACATTATGAGCACGTTAACAGGCTGTAACGCAGCCGTGACACGTATCACGCGGCGTTAGATACAATGCACTCTATGTGGCGATGCTGCTGCTGCGTCGGCAGTAGCGCACAAACACAACATAACAAAAAAAACCCACCTCAACACACTCGTCAACAACGCCGCCTTGAAAGGAACAATAAAACACATGTAATAGACGACGTTTCGGGCTAATGGCCCTTATGCACAACACATACCCAGCATGGTGTACTCGCCAGCCATGGCTCAAGTCTCTCCCGGCTTCACGCCGAGTGGTGGGAAGGGAAGAAGCGGGCGAGTTATTGCCAACAGTGGCGGGGGGGTCGGGGGAATCAGTCGAGGTTTTGTTTTAAATAAAACTTTGGAGAAATCTTCCGCCGCTCGAGACCGGGAGCCGCGCGAGGCCGTCCGAGACCGGGAGCCGCGCGAGGCCGTCCGAGATCGGTAGCCGCGGTGAGGCCGCGTGAGACCGCCTGAGATCGGTAAGCCACCCGAGAACGACAGCCGCGTGAGGCCGCCCGAGATCGGTAAGCCACCCGAGAACGACAGCCGCGGTGAGGCCGCGTGAGGCCGCCTGAGATGGGTAAGCCACCCGAGAACGACAGCCGCGGTGAGGCCGCGTGAGACCGCCTGAGATCGGTAAGCCACCCGAGAACGACAGCGGCGTGAGGCCGCTCGAGATCGGTAAGCCACCCGAGAGAACGACACCGGCGTGAGGCCGCTCGAGATGGGTGGCCACCCCGAGGTGTGAGCGAGCGAAGCGGCCCAGACGGCGTCGCTTCCTGCCCGGTGGCGACGTCGGCACGTGGGCGGGTGACGTCGGCACGTGGGCGGGTGACGTCGGCGCGCCACCGCCGCGCTACGGGTCTCGCCACGTGCTGCGTCAACTCGCGCAAACACCAAAGCGCGTTTCGTAATTACATTTTTTGACAGCTCCGAGGCATTTCACTGGACCCTGTTTTCTTCTAACAGGGGAAATTGAGTGTGCAGGTCCATACGGCGTATTTAGCCGTTTCAATACGGGCAAAAAAAGACGTGTGTTGTCTATTTGTTTGTGTTTCTCCCTTGTGATGGTATTTTGTAGGATGAACGTTGAGATTTATAAGGGGCACGGGGTGACCACTAAGCTCTGAATTAGTCTGTAATAAGGTAGGGCACTGATAAGGGGTTGACAGGTATGCTGTACTATATATAAACTATATCTTTTTATGTTAACGTGTAAGGCCCGACTGAGTTATATGTCGATATTTTTTTCAGAAGCGACCTGGCCATCACACATTTTAGTTCATTTAGTTTAGATAAGCCACTTTGTTGAGAAATGATATATCTCAACGAAGTGGCTTATCACGTGGAAATGTATCGCAGCCAAATACACAGAAATGTGGAGGGGAAAACCCGGGGACTTTAAATTTCCAAACGGTGACAGGCCACTTCGTTGAGCTATCATTTGTGGCCAGATTCCCTTCTGAAAAGAGAAGCTTCATAGCTCAGTGGGCATTACCTGGTCAACAATCATTTAGTTTTATCTGTACATTTTTAAGTGATATGTTTACATATCCTATACTTTGCACTCCTATCGTGTTTTTGTACTGCTTGTTAACGTTCTGCCCCCCCCCCCCTTACTTTACATCTGCAACTAAGAGCTTCACAGCTCATCGGATTCCTTCCAGCGTGAATGGTTCCTAACCGATTCGAATGACGATTCGCCGACTCCAAAAAACTGCGTCTGGCCACGAATACACACGATTCCGATCCAGCCATTCGCCAACGTGGGAATCGAATCGTGACAATCACCTCGCGCATATCATCCGAATCGATTCCGCCCACCGCCACCAACAACAACATCGCGTAGCGATGGCGGCGCGCTGGAGTTGCGAGAACGTGGTGGTCGAGTACAGGGACGCGCAGGTCACCCGAGCTCACAGCGCTCGTTCGCCGCGTTGCCTCGCTCTTAAATGAACGTCTCGCAACTGCTTCTTGCTCGACTCTAACGCGGCTGGGTGGGCATTGTGGGGTATGGTGGGGTGGCGGGGGGAGATTTGGTAGAGGCAAGGAGGAGCCGGCGCGGTTAGAGGCGGGCGTCGCACGGAGACCGGCTCCCCTTCCTGGCCCGGCCCGGAGCACGGCTCGGCTCGGCACGGCCCCAGCTCGGCTCGGGCCGGTACGGCCCGGCTTGGCCCGGCCCGACCCGGCATGGCCCGGCACGGCCCGACCCGGCCCGGCTCGGCTCGGCATGGCCCGGCACGGCCCGGCACGGCTCGGCCCGGCTCGACCATTGTCGGGTTTCATTGCAAACGTGGGGGGTCCCTTCTCACCCGTCGGCGAGCAGCGTTGCGATTTGTAAACACAATCACTCGGCGCGTCGCTGTTCACGCAATTTAGTCACATGCACAATCTGTGCCGTTGTGTGTGCTTGTGACTTAATGTGTGTGTGTGTGCAGAACTGTGCATTGCGTGTTGCACGCGTGTGCTCTCTGCAGTACTCGGGTGTGTCGTGTAAACATTGGGGAGCGGTAGTGTAGTGGTAAAGTGTGCTGCGCTCTACGACCCGAGTTCGATTCACGCTCAAGGCCACCAACATCGGTGACGATTATCTGAACCGGTCGTGGGCCTTCCCATTCAAATGAGTACCTTGGTGCGATGTGTAAGCATCGCCACTGTAGTGCTGGCCACCCAGCCTCTCGTGTGTGCCGTGCCGACCTTCATAGCTGCTAACAACACTCGCCCCAACAGTCTGTTAAGACTTTACGGGGTGGGGGGGGGTCGTTGTCTTGTAAAGTAAACAACGCTCGACCGGCGTGTGCGATCAATGCTGAATTAACATTTAACAGAATTAATTCGTGGTCCCCTTTGCGACCCACTTTGCTGGATGAGAGGGCCTTCCAGAACCGGTGTTGGCCAATGGGGGTGTCTGTTGACGATACTTCACCCACCCTGGTCAGCTCTTGGGGTGAAGGCCCGGCAGCAGGGACAGAGTTCAGGTAGCACTCGACACTGTGGCCCGGAATCCAACCCAAGTTGCATGCTTTATAACAGGGGACCCATTACTTTGTTGACGATAGCCACGTTTATTACATCCGTTGAATTGTCATTTTTTTCCCATCTCCTTTTCTCATCCTGAGAAGAGCCTGCGTTGACTTTTGTTCAAGTGTGGACAGCTGGGCGATATTGGGTGGCCACTTGGGTACGCCTGTCAATGCAGCGCTGTTGAAGGTCCCGGGCTCGGTGGATTCCGCAAAAGTTTGCGAGACTCCCCGTGAGCGTCGAGGAAGTGCTAGAGAAAATAAATGCATTCGAGCAAAAACGTGGACTGTACCTGACCCGTCGTCTGTATGGAGATAAGAGTGTTTCCCCTGAACTCGCGTGGCTTTTATCTGAGCGCTCTGATTTCCCTTCCACTTAAAACAGAAAACACTCATTCATTGGCCGATAACACCTTAATACGTAGAGGACCGCAGAGCTTTGGGGCAGTGGTTGGCACCGTGCTCATTGTCTGGCTGGTGGCATCCCGCGTGTCTGGTTCCTCCTCCTCCTCGTGCCTCTGAGTCGTTCTCTTCGGGGAGTGAGCGAATACATTACAAGGCTGCCATTCTTGATATCTACAACTTACTCATCTTCACCCTCGGTTACTGCTTAATAATTCTATCTTGTAGAATACGTCGTCGTTTGCTTCGTCTGTTCGGTTTTTTTGGTACGTGTTAATCATTTTTGTGTGCGTGAGTAGCTAATATTTGTACGTGTGAACACGTGTTTGCGGTGTCAACAATGCCCCAGCCGGCAGGGTGAGATTGGGAGTGGAATGCGGCTGCTGGATGTTATTACATTGTGTACATTATTGTATGTATAATGTACATCATGTTTGGATAATTATGTGTACGAGCATCGCACACGTGGGTATGTCAACCAAACGAGGCCTGACCGTCTGTAACTTACGCCAGCGTCCCATTTGTGTTGTTTAGTCACGCACTGCCTGTTGTGTGGAAGCATTAAACACGTCTTCTTCTGACTACTTTCTGACCACCCCTTTTCTGTGTTTCATTAAGCGTGCGCGTTTGGCACTGTGCAGTTCTATTGAACGTGCGTATCAATAAGGCGGTGTGTCTTTCCAAGTAATGTACGTGCAACCGATATTCCATCCTCTTGACAGCAACCTTAGTGTGAATGTAAACTATTGTCAGTACGAGATTGCAGTCATGGTCATGGTGGTTCCTCTGACCCACTGCTGTTGTTCTGCAGGCCACCGCAATGTCCGTCGACTGCCAAGGCCAAACAGCTGTGCTCTCCGGGTGAGGCCTACTCCTTCCAAAGAGGCTGCCACTCCCGATCGCACCCACCGTTGCTCTTACTCACCAAGTGAAACCTTGTTACGTGGTGAAATCGTAGGCGATCGAAAACAGTGATTGAAATCGATAACGTTATTGCAGCAGTCGGTTGAACCCCAGGTGCTTTGGTGCTTACACACCTTTCGTCCAGCTCTCGGAGGCAAGGGTCGGATGGATCACCGAAGTTTGGGAGCATATCAAAGCTGCTTGGGTGTGAGGTGGCCAGGCAGTGCAGCAAGTGGTTTTGTCAACTCGTCACTGTAGACCAGGGGTGGGGAACGTCCGGCCCGTGGGCCGTATGGGGCCCGTGAAATCATTTGGTGTGGCCCTGCCAAGGCAACCGCAGGCGGGACTCGAAATTAAATAAATCTAGGAGCAAACCTGTAAAAGCAGTTGCGAGTAGCAGCAACATCATCGATACCAGCTAACATCATCACACACCTCACCAAAGAGAAGCAGTTCCAGCCATCGCATTAGGGGTGAGTTAATTCAATGTTTGACCAAATATAACAGGCTAATTTTTAAGTTGCTAATTTTTTATGGCCTGCGAATGATGGTATAAATATCCAAATGGCCCTTGGCAGAAAAAAGGTTCCTCCTGCAAAGAGCATTTTGAGCCTCATTCTGACTGATGTGGATAAAACAATTGCAGAATTATTACGCAGCATCTGACTACCTGATATTTTAATATTCATATTTCATGCAAATATACAATGCAGATCTTGTTATGAATTGCAATATCAGGGGCCTCATTTTCACATCGGCACACAATCTTAAGAGCACTTTTTACTGATATTATTTGCATACATTGTAATTTTATCTGAAAAAGATAAACTCACATTGCTTCAATCCTTTTCCAATGACTTTGCTTACCCTAACGATGTTCAACTTGTCACATGTCTTTTCTGTACATGTACTGCCCTTTTTTGTCCATCTACTGTGGGATGGAGGCCTCCCCACACCCCGCATGGGGGTTGTTTGAACTTTCTCTGGTCAGTGCGAGTTGGTCGAGCTGGAGAGCAGAGGCTTTGGAGGCTGGTACAGTACAACAATATATTCTAATGCACTGCCCTTTACCGACAGTGTAGCCCTGCAGTTGTCTGTAGGTATCTTTATTTGTAGACGCTGCTTTTAAAACCAAATTGTCTTTTTGTCGTGTGCCTGCTGCTTCTATCTGTCAGGCGGAGGTACCTGTACATGATAAACCTAGACTCCCCATCGGAGCTGGTGAAGAAAATCTCCCGGCAGAGCAAGTGGGACGTCGGCGCCGTGCAGTGGAACCCCCACGAAGTGTCCAAGCATTTCTTCGCCGCTTCGGTACGACGTATCGGACGGAGGTCCTCTGGTGGCCCGTAATGGCTCTGTTATGATTGTCGTTCCTCGTCATGAAGGCAGCCGAGTGGCTCGAGAGAACAGTACCGTGTCACAACTATGAGCTAGCTCCATTTGGATCCTAGGTTCAGATACAGGTTTCAGCCACCTATTACACGGTGCTTAAACATTTTTTTGCAAATATATAGGACTTTCTTTTTTTATTGATAAAAAAACGGATAATACACTCTAACATGATAACAAATGTATGTTAATTGCTTTAAAAAGTCAGTCTCCGCTTGTTCGCCATCATTGTCAATACATGCCTGGAATCACCTCCAGGTGATCTCCAGAGCCCAAGTGTTAACATTTTTTTGAAGCAGCCTGTATTTAGCCGGGTTCTTGGTTGCAGCGAGTTGATGGTCTCAGCCCAGTCAGCATAGTCTGCATTAAAAAAAAAATCTGTAATATTAACTTTGGTCATTCACTTAATTTGGTTTATTGCATTTCTGAGCAATAAAAAGTGTGACGGTCTATTTTTGCACGACCTATACAACTTTTGCATTCATTGTGGATAAATGCTCCTATTGATATGACTTCAGTAGTTGTCTCACAATGTCGTCTTCTTGGGGACCTTTTGACATGGCGAGAGCTTCGAATGTAAATGTAGTTATCTCATAACGTGATACCGACAGCGCAATTGAAGTGTAACTGAAAATAGATTAAATCGCCATTTGCAATGATCATCAATCGACCGCTGTTTAAACGATTGTTGCCCTCCTAAACGTGTGGTTTCCATCAAGACATGAAGCAATCTGGTCAATGACAAAGTTGTTTACGTAAATGCATACCACTGCAGCTTGACTTTTGCCTTGAAAGAAATTAGCCGACTCCTTGGGTTGTTATACACAAAGTTTCACGAGGTTGACTTGGCCTCCATTTGTTAATGTCACAGTGTCGGCATTGGCACTGGGAGGACAAAGGTAGTTACTGCCTTGTGTCCTCGTGAGATGGACATCTGTGAAAAAGATCTTCGTAGTTCATTGGATTCCTCCAGGATGAATACAGATTCAGATTTTGATGAGCCGTGCTACTCTTAACATGTGTACACTGACAGCACCCTCCCTAGCATTGTATACTACAATCGAGCATCGATTATCCGGCAGCTTCGGGGGAAGAGGGTGCCGGATAAATAAAAACCGGATAATCACTAATAATTTAAAATAGCTTTTTTTTGCACATTCTTAGATAACATTCGGTTTTTAGGTGTTATTTTTGTGTTTCAAGCATGTTTAATATGTGAAATTTGCATTAAAAACTGCAAATAGACAAAAATAAATGTCCTACTTTAAAAAGTTACTGTATTTACTGTAGCGTACTTGCCATTCCAGTTTTATGTAGTATATAATGTACTGTATATAATATTTTACACTGAAATCAAGCATAGCTACTTTTGTTGTCACGCACATGCTGCCGATTGCCGGACTGGTACAGCCTTTGGAGTCGTTGTGCCAGTTTCGATGAATTGACCCGGGACTGCCGAATAATGTTAGAAGCCGAATAATTGCGCAGTGCCGGATAATCGATGATCAACTTGTACTAAACTTGGGTCTTGTGGTTTTTTGTTGTTGGTCTGCAGTGCAACCAGCAAGTGGACTTATACAAGTGGAAGGATGGCGTTGGGGAGGTTCCAACATCATTGCGGGGACACACGCGTGTGATCAGGTGCAGCAGCGCAGCTTGCAAGCATGATATCGGCCTATCATGCAGTTCTTGATCAATGTACACAACTCTACATCACTTTTAAGAGGCATGTTTCAACGTACCCTCCCAGTTATTAGGCTAACGCTAATTCTCACAATTCACGGTCATGATCTGATTGAAGAATTGATTCTGTTTTGTCTAATATTTATTGCGTCGCTTGTATTTTTTAAGTCTCATTCTTACAGCTTTGTTTGCATGATACTAACTGTAACATGGCCATTCTTTGCATATACTTGTAATCTATTTGATATATTTTCTCTTGCACATTTATATGCCTATATCGTGAGATAAATCTATTTTAATTTGAGTCGATACATCGTAACATGCTGACTAGTTAACAGGCTTACTTTATTGTTATGGCAGACTCGTCACATGTTTGAAGTATTAAAAGATCATATATTTCAGCATGAACTTCATTTTTATAATTGAATGGTATTCATAACTTATTTGCAGCATCTTGTGCATGTGTTCTTTTCATATTTGCAAAAATAAAGCTGAACCTTTACTAAAATTTAAAAAATATTTATTTTAATAGTTTTTTTTTGTCAAGTGAAAATCTCCTTGTTTGCAGTACTTAATATACGCAGAATGAAATAATTATCAAAATAAGTTACAGCCCTTTGTCGATGCACTCATTGATAAAGCCCTGCTCATGCCCTTCCATGACGGGCGTTGTTTTGCCAAACTTCACGCTGGTCAGCACGGGTTGGCGACGGGGGGCTGCCCAGCGTCAATTCAGATTTCACTCGGCACTAACACTGTGGCTGAAGTCAAATTTGGGTTGCAGGGTTCGTAACACAGTGCCCTAACCACTCCACCGCTGCTTCGAACCTTATATTTTGATGTGTGTAGTGTGCACACTATGCTGTGTGTGTGCACGCCCTTATTTTTCGAAAGTGTGACGATGTAATATTTTGAATGTGTGGCGGTACGTGTGCCGTCGGCAGTGACCTGGACTGGTCTTGGTTTGAGCACGAGTACCTGGTCACCTGCTCTGTAGACACGTACATCTACATCTGGGACATCAAGTGAGTGTGCACAGGCAGCCAAGAACCACTTTTAGGCTCCCCACAATAATAGTATCAATAGCATTGATGACAGCTCAATTAAATCATCGCTCTGATAACATTCATGTGTAATATAGGAATCCCATGTATTTTACATGTGTGCAGACACTTATGTGCGTAAACAATGAGCAGTTGATATGTGGTCACTTGTCTTTTAAAAAATAAATATTGAGTAGTTTTATTTGTTTGTAAGAAACATTCATCCTGAAGCTGTTTTACAAGAATGACCCACAGAGGACCTTAGTGGGAAAAAAGGAAATTACAGCATATAACTCAAAAGATTTATATACTTTATAATTCCATCATATGTTATATGGAGCAATATATGTAAGATATAGCATGTATTGATCATGACATACGCATTTGATACTTGTATACATAAAGGGAGAGAGCTGCATTCTCTTGTGGTATTTAATTGCCTCTTGAGGATATTAATTTGCATATGCGATCTTTAACAGGGACACAAGGAAGCCAGCCATCTCCCTCTCAGCTGTTGGTAAGCTGTCCCCCTTCTTAATTTACACTGTCCTTTGGACCATAAATCTAGCGCTATCTGAGATATACATTTTAAGCTCCCTTACACTAATTTCAGAGTACATCAAGTCGAAGCTGAGGTTACTCATCCGAAAGAGGGAGCTATTGCAACATTTGAGTTATGTGGCAATAGGCAGTGATGGCCTTTAAGGCAAGTGTGTGTGTGTACTGTTGTGTGTTTGTGTGCCTGTGGAGTGGTAGTGTATTGGTCTGGATGCTGTGCTACCAACCCGACGACCGAGTTAGATTCCTGCTCACGGCCAACACCAGTGACAATTATGTGAACCAGTCATGGGTCTCCCCTAGGTCGACTTAGCCTCAAATGAATACCTGGTGCAGTGTGTGAAAACATCGCCACTGGGAAGACGAAGGTGGTCGGGCATGGTGCTGGCCACCCACCCCCTCGTGTTCCGTGCCCGCCTTCATAGGTGCTCACGAACAGCAATTGCCCCAACAGTCTTTTAAGGCGATACTGGGGGTGTTCTTTGTTTGTCTTGTTTGTGTGTAGCTGGGGCATCCCAAGTTAAGTGGAACAAGAGGCAGAGGGACACTCTGGCGACAAGTCACGACGGGGATGTGCGCATCTGGGACAAACGGGTGGGCTGCTCCAGTCAGTGCCACTACACCGGTCTATGACACTGTGAACAATACCGCGCAGCAACACACAGTCCAAATTAATGACGCTCAATGCAACACATCTTGGTGTAAAACAACACAATACACTGCAATACAATACAGAACTATCTGGCCCAGTCATTTTACATTTAGGTTGACAAAAGTGTGTGTGTGTGTGTGTGTAGATTTTCCAGGGTGCAGAAATCATAAGACTTCCGATTTTACCATCTGAAAGTCTAAATTTCACATTTTGCCATGCGGTGCTATATATACATTTTTTTTTTTAACCTGGATCTTGGAAAGTTTACATCAAGTTGTTTTCGATGGTTCTGAACACAAACATGACACTTTAAAAACTAATTTTCTCTGTTTTAATCAGTTTAATCGTAAATCCCATATGCTAAATAATTATATTAAATATTGTAAATGTTGATGTGAGTACTGATTAATTATGTTAAATCATACTGCTGCACTGCTGTGAATTGTTGAGGTACACTGATCATGACGCTGCTGCTGCTGCTGAAGCTGGTGATGGCGTGGTTGTCACTGCTGTGTTTGCAGAAAGCCACAGCACCCGTGGAGTATATGGCTGCCCACCTGTCCAAGATCCATGGGCTAGATTGGCACCCAGACAATGAATTCATATTGGCCACCTCCAGCCAGGACAACTCCGTCAAGGTGACTCGGGCCAGAGAGATTGGCGCATTGTTCACTTTGCCGTAGCCATGGTGTCAACTTCAAGAGGTCATCATTGAAAGTGCCTTTAATACCACCGCAGCTTGCCATTGTTTGCTTCTTTCTGATAGGTCCCCAGTTGTCATAAACTTATTATTGCACCTTCAAGGACTGCTCTTACCATACTCCCACTGTCTGGATGATAATAATAATTTAAAAACTCAACACATTCGCCAATGATGGGCTGCCTTAAAAGGGATGTATATGAGGGGGTGGGTGGCCAGCACCACGCCCGGCCGCCTTTGTCTCCCCAGTGGCGATGTTGACACACCACAGCAGTTACTCGTTTGAGGCCGAGTCGACCTAGGGGAGGCCCAGGACCGGTAAAATAATCGTCACCGGTGGTGGCCGTGAGTGGGAATCGAACTCGGGTCGCCGGGTTCGTAGCGCGGCGCGCTAACCACGACACTACAATGCGTTACGCTTCCACATGCGAGGGTCACGTGACAGATTTGACGTCACAGCTCACTTGGCGTGCAAAAAATTAATGCTTTATTGAGCTCCCCCCCCCCCCCTAAAAAAAAAGTGTATTTTTATAATTTTTGCATGGTGTACAGTCTGGAAAGTACCCACATGGCAAATTTCAAGTTTGTTGCATGTCGGGAAGTACGCTAAACATTTTGAACAGACACACATATTCACAAATTTGCCTTTTATATATATGGAGATAACAAGCAACGTTTCTGGCAATATGCTATTTAGAAAGGGTCATTACTTGAAATGTCATCTCCTATATTGTTATTTTTTAAAGCAGTGTTATTGACAAATGTGTTGAGTGTTTTTTTTGTATTGGCAATCATTTGTCTGGATTTAGGTCTTTCCCCTTGGTCGTAAAGTTGCTGCCACCTGCTTATCTCGATAATCTAACCTCTTCTATCCTGCACGTGCCCCACCCATCGGAGCCGCTTCTTCATTATATTCGCAACACTTTATCGAGTGGTGTCAGTATTGTCATAAACAATAATGACAACTTATTTGACTGTTTAAAGTATTACTAAACTATTTATTGATTGATTGTTTACGGCGACTGACAAAAATAATAGCGCAATTCATATTGTAAGTAATGCAGCAATCAATTGTGCCATGCAATATAGTGGTGCTTGTGTAATAAAGATGGCATCAGTAGCATACACAATCTAATGACATGCTTCTTGTCTTTTCACAGTTCTGGGACATTCGAAACCCTCGGAAGAACATACATGTGTTGTCGTGCCAAGTTCCTGTGTGGAAAGCACGGTATACGGTGTGTATTATGATTGTTGGTGAGCGGATGTGCATAGACATGTATCCGTATGTCTTATTTTTACGTGTACCTTAATATGTGTGGACATGTAACAGGTTATATTTGTGTATTAATGTATGTATCAGCATGTATGTAACTGTGATTGTGTTTATGGGGCTGTTTATTAAAGGAAAATTATGCATCATTCATTCACCTTCTACATTGCAGGCAGTTTAGCTAAATATATTGTTGTACTCTACTTCTTCGGTCCCACACCCAAGCCATTATGCGTGAATACTGGAGGTAAATAGAGGCCATTGTGAAGGGTTCCGGCCACACCACCAGTTTTGAGTGTTATATGGTCCTCTCGAGGTTGCTCATCTTGCAGCAGTAACATCCTAACCGGGGGATTGTGCGTGTGATTTGTGTGTCTTTGTATCTCTGCATGCGGCGTGGGCAGCCTTTCAGCAATGGGTTGATCACGGTGATGGTGCCGCAGCTTCGGCGCGGTGAGAACAGCCTGCTGCTGTGGAATCTGGGAGAGCTGGGGGCACCTGTGCACACCTTTGTAGGGCACAACGACGTGGTGTTAGAGTTCAACTGGCGCAAGCAGAGGGAAGGTCAGTGTACACAGACGAGACAAAGATCCCCAATTCTTAACCTTAACAGACGTGATGCAAGTGCTGTTAGCGAGCACCTATGATGTCCGGTGTGTGGCCAGCACCATGCCTGACTGCTTTTGTCTCCCCAGTGGTGATGTTTATGCACCGTCGCAGGTACTCATTTGAGACCGAGTCGACCTAGAGGAGGCCCAGGACCGTTTCAGATAATCGTCACCGATATTGGCCGTGAGCTGGAATCGAACTCTAGTCGTCGGGTTAATAGCGTCGTGCGCGAACCGCTACACTGCCACGCCTCGCATTAAGGCACGCACATACACTCGCATAAATTTACAAGTTGCTTAATCTCGTGTTCTTTAAATACAAATGAACAATTTCAGTTGTGCCATTTAGATACCCATTCATTGCAAATTACAAATATAATGAAATTACACGTATACATTTTATGTAATTTCTGCACATGCACATGAACACACATACAAACACACTGACATGCACACCAAGACAGATGCACACATACAAGTGTCCCATCTGCTGCGGAAACTTGCAGGAACGACCTGGGGCGCCTCAGTTGATGTTCTACGAACTGCCGCCCTCTCGCTGATCTACTCAGTGGCAGGGTACTGTCCTCCAGCCCGGTCCAGAAACCCCTACACTAAACTGCCAGATGCACATTTGAATAATGGATGCGCATCATAACTGGAAGACTGGAACTGACACCAGTCCTCTGGCTCCCTGTTTCGGCGAACATTCTGCCACCAAATACCTGCAGGTACATGCAAACTGCAATGGAGTTTACTCGTTTCTTGCCGACAAAAAGCTACTCGTCAACCAAGACCTCAACAATGTACCTTGCCGCCAACCCTTAAGTCCTTATCCCCTGTCTGGGATTGCTCTGTCACCATCCTAGAATCTCAACCACATCCAGAAGATCGCTGGTGAATAGAGTGGAACAACGCGGACGTCCAGAATAAACCCCTAATTCGAGACCCAAATATTGCACCTGCTGGCTTTGACATTCCTTCTTGAAGACAATGGTGGTGTAACCATCAACCTCGTCATAACATCAACAGGCCAATGTGTACATCCCCTTCATAAATGGAAAGTTAAAGACATGCCACAGTGAAATGTTGGCCCTGCAACTCTGGAATATATAGTTAACCGCTATCATCTCATCTCCTTCAACAGAGGAACGGCAAACTAGATTAAGTCTTCTTCTGAAGCTCTCTCTTGCCTAGCAGACCTTGACATTTAGCTCCTGAATATATCGTCATATGCAAGAATAAAATCATTTAAACGTGTGAATGCAGCAACACATTCCACACGTGGGGTTTCTCCCACATGCAAATAACACGCCTCTATGAATGAGCCTGACAAGCCAATGCAGGGCCCTCTTGAAAAAGGGTATTGAGATTCAATGAGGTTTTGCTGAATAAATAACATGTTTAGCTAATATTCTTAGCTCTTTCGGTAAAGTCACGTTGAAGGGAAACAATAAAATATATATAAAACAATAAAAATTCTCACGACGTTTCGACCATAACACAAACGGTCGTCATCAGGTGTGTCGGTCTGCATTAATTTATTTATTCATAAGCGGTGCGTCTATTTATTTATTAAAAACGTCAGTGCCACGCGCAGCGATTTGGCAGTTTATTTAGAAGGACTAGTCCATCTATGTTCTGAAAAGAGGAGGGGGGAGACGAAAAATTAATGTATGCTGTCTGAAAGCCACTAAGCGTGAACAATCAATTAAGACCAGAAATGGTTAATCAAATCTTTCCAATGATTGCTAAGCCAGAATCCATCTTCTCGGTTGAAATTGTCTCTGTGCTTGTATATGTGGATAGCCTCATGAACGAATCTCTCATGGTAGCCAGATGGCTTACAAAGAACCTCTGTCTTGGAAAAGTCAATGTCATGTGAGCCTACTGAATTATAACAATGATCTGCCACGGCCGAGGTGTTGGTCCTACCGTGTTTAAGGTTTGCTTTGTGTTCACGAATGCGGTCCGAGACATGGCAATTGGTTTCTCCAATGTAACTACTACCACAGAGGCAACTTAGTTTGTAGACACCAGGGTACTGTATGTCCGGAATCACATCTTTTACAGACGGAACCAGATCACGGATTTTATGTAATGTGTTTAAACGGACCTGGATCTTGTGTTTATTCAAGATTTTGGAGATCTTTTTTGTGATCCCCGCAATGTAGGGTAAAGTGATGGTTTTGAAAGGCTCCTCAAGAGGGTCCTTCTTCATGGTTTGAGTGATAGCTTTGCGGATTGTATAGTCGGAGTAACCATTAGCCTTAAGAGCTTGGTGTACGTGCTTGAGTTAACTGCCTATGTGTTCCTGGTCGGATATGGATTGGGCTCTATGGTACAGAGTCTTGATGAGAGAATTCTTCTGTGATGGATGGAGGTGGGAATCCGGTTTCAGATAAGCATCCGTATGGGTAGCTTTCAAAATGTCTAGCTAATTTATATATTTTTTTACTGTTTTAGCAAATGCTGTACACCAGCACCTGTTGAGTCTATTACCCAACACTGGCAGCTGTTAAGGCCAGCCACCTGCGAGCTTTGGCTACCTTCGTCCCTCGGTGTTAATGTTTTACCATATCCACTGCAGCTGCACGTTTTGTGGAAGTCTCTGGTGTAAATAATTGGCTGAGATAATTATACTTACTGTATCAAAGTACACATGTGGACAAAAGTGCACAAATTCACGTACATGCTCTGGAGCATGACCTTTGTTGATGGTTTTGTGCTTGTGCAGGACTAAAGGACTTCCAGCTTGTGACGTGGTCCCGCGATCAGAGTCTGCGCATCTGGAGGATCGACACACAGCTGCAGAGGGTGATCCCCCCCCCCATTCCTTTGCATCTGTTGTATTTGACTTAAGCTGTCCTTCACACTCACCTGCCCATAAATAAGCATCCACGCCTAAAGAGTATTTTTCCAGCATCTCCTCCAGCGTGTACCGGCAAATGATAGAATGTCGATAGTTATTTATAAAGTTTATCGGCAAAAAAAAGGAAACCCGTATCTGCCAATGCAGGGAACGTTGTGTGTGGTGAGCAGCTGTGTTCCAGTGACAATCTCGATGGCACCGATGACCTTTTGGATGACTACACGGTGACCCCTGACATGGACAAGGGCTACTCGGCCCCCGACGCGGAGCCCAGCCCCCCCCCACGGCCGTCCAACCACGAGGACCCGGGTGGGTATCGCACAATCGCCAGGCCAACAACACAAGACGAGTCGCGCTTGTGCTCTCGATACCTACCTATGCTGTGCGTTCTAGGCTGTCCGACACTATGGTGACGCTTCATTAGTGAGGGGGAAAAAAAAGGCTCTAAATTTTCCTGTAGGTTTTGTTATCGGTGCTCTGGTGATATCCCGCGTTGATTTATAAAACACTGGTAAGGGTGTTGCAGGGAAGTCATTACAGTGCTAAATGATGGGCTTGTATTAACTTAATAGTGTTTTCACTCCTTAACGAAGCTTCACACTCTTGGCGGATAGCCTGACATGCAGCCTCGGTGCACCTCTATTGGAAAAGAGCTGTGTTTTTTTTAGGTTGCGTATTCCTGGAACAAATAGGGAATAATTGAAAGGGTCCCTCTTTGAAGGTCATTCCACTTAAGTTTACATTTTCTTTTTAGAATCAGATGATCAAGTTTATAATTAGTAGGAGAGATGTGGCTGATATCTACATCAGGAACCATTAATCAAGTATTATTTATTAGTAAACTCCTTACCCTCAGCTGAACCCTGAAAAGCATTACCTGAACCTAATCCCACCAGGTCTAGCTCTTATTTAACCATAGCCTTAACTTACCATAATAAATAGGTGAGTGACATTTAATCAACCCGTTGATTAAAATATATTCTTTCTATCATGATAGTACCTGTAAGATTGTTTTTTTACGATCTTATAATATAAGTAAAAATTTTACCTTTCGGGGAATAAAATTTACTAAAGAGAAGTATCACGCACTACATACAAAAAAATAATCTTCTACCATTTAATTTTTAGCCCGAATCTTGTCGGGGTATGTATTTACGTTGAACTTTCGCACCGTGCGTAGCCAACCGTGCTAGTCATTCAATCGCAGGGTGGGGGAGGGGGGCGATACTTCACATACAATACCATGCCAGGGTATTGGTAATGAGGGTGCTTATTTTCATTCAAGGCTTCGCTTGCCTTCCAAACGTTTAATGTGCGACGAATATCTCCGCTTACTGCAGTCAACGTCGCGCGTCTCGTCTGCCTCCCGCCTCTCCCCCCTGCAACGGCAGGAGTGCCGAAGGAGACCGCCGTGGTGTCCCCGCGTGGCCGCCGGAGGGGCGACGCTGCCGTGCAAGGGCAGCCCCAGACGCTGCAGCAGGAGTTCTCGCTCGTCAACCTGCACATTCCCAACGTGGCCGTGGATGAGGTGCCGCCCACTTCCTCACCCCACTGCATCCCCCAAACCAATTGATAACAGCGGCACCTCGCTCGCATCTCGCTTTTACACGCGCCGTGCGGGCTCGTTTTTTTTTTTCGTGCCCTTGTGCGTCGCTTCGCAGCTCTGCCGGATGTAAAAAGAGCATCATAGCTCATCGGATTCCTCCAGTCTAATTAAAGATTCTTAACTTTGTGGACTGTACTGTAATGCCCTGCGCATTGGTGGCAGTTCCACTGCTGTTAATAAAGACATCGGATTGGCAAGAGATGGCTAAGTGTGGTCACACCATGTTGGGGCATTCAACTGGCACCAATGAGACCCCGGAGTTTGAATCTGGGTTCCAGCCACCTTAATGGGTTAAAATATCTTCTTGGTTCTTTCGGTAAAGTCACGTAGAAGGGAAATAATAAAATAAAATCAATTAAATGTAAAAAAATAGTTTTGCAAGTTGGTGGTCCGAACCTGATTACCAATGAATATACGTAACGACTTTGTACTAAATATTTGTTTTATTCAACATGGCTTATTCCACTTCTGGGAATTACAAATCTTAGTTTTTTTGACAGTTGACGGACTCCTATTAGGGGATATATGGGTGTGCCCCTGGTGTGCATTAAGAGACTTGTTAAAGTGACTTAAAATGTCACCTTCGCGGGCTTTCTGCGGCTGTTCTGAGAACACGTTATGATGTGCTCGTTGCTAATATATATATTTTTATTGAGGCATTGTGCGGGCCAGATACATCATGTTGTGACACACGTACACACTGTCAACATAAGCCAAACCGGTTATGAAAAGCAGGTGATAGAAAGATGGGGAAGAGTTGCTAGAGTTTTTAATGGAGATTCACCAGATATTCGGGTGAAATTCAGATCTGGCCACTGTCCACCGGCCAAGCGGTCAACCTTAAAGTAGAAACAGGATAGTGTCTTTGCTATTGTTTAAACTCCATTTGTTTTCTCTAATCTAAAAATATCCCTCTCTCATCTGCACTTTCTCTTATCTAGCTGCACCTGAATGCCTTTTCTATATATTTCACATCTCACTGTATCAGTCTTTTTTTCTTCTCTCATCTCTTTACATTCCTTAATATCTATTTAAGACCTTACTTCATCATGGAACCTCCTTTGCCAGTACCAAAATATGAGAAAAAGTTTTTTCCCTCTTTATCTGGCAACAAAACATTTGTTCAGTTGTTAAAACACCAAACTGAAACCTTTTACAAGAAATCATGTCTGCATTAACCACAATACTTGTGGTCAAAATGCAAACCAAAAACATACCCTGATAATATGTGCATTGTCCTTGAAACTGATTGGTCCACACCAGAGACAGCTTTCTTTTGAGCCTCGTCTCAAACGGTGTTAGACCAGAGGACGCCAAAAGGCGCACACAGCACAAAGACAATGCACTATCAGAGTAATGAGAGCTCGGGGTGAGCATCTACATCATGGGACCTATATATTATATATTATCAGAGTGTTTTTTGTTTGCATTTTGACCACAAGCATTGTGGTTAATGCAGACATGATTCCTTGTAAAAGGTTTCAGTTTGGTGTTTGAACAACTTAACACCTGTTTTGTTGCCAGATAAAAAGGGAAAAACTTATTCTCATAAGATTTTACTGTTCACCTTTAAACTTGGATCCAACTCGGAAAGCTAAATACGGTATTTCTCAGGGTAGCAGAGAATGCTATTCAGTGCAGCGGTGGTGTCTAACAGTAATTTATTTGCTGTGACCTCGCAGAAATGTGTGAAATTGGTTGAAGTGGATCTTAGTCATGCATTTGTGAAACCAAAAGGGAAAATAAAAGTTAGTGCCACCCTGCGCATTCCGTGACGGGTTTTGTTGTCGAGCTCGAAGACATGCACAAGTGTGCACCCAAATAAAGCTTGTAAATTTTGTGGCTTTGCTCTCCAACACACCGGTGTGCTGTACTAGTAACAAATTGGCTTGTTCTGTTTCCATGACAAACCTTACTAATTGGCTGTGTCGGGTGGTGGCGGGTTTAACGACACATTTATATATTTACGCGATCTAACCCAAAAAAACCTGTATTATGGTTGCATCTCCATGCTTTGTCAGTGTTTTTTTCAACTGTTAGTGAGGGAAAAAAGTATTTGATCCCCTGCTGATTTTGTACGTTTGCCTACTGACAAAGAAATGATCAGTCTATAATTTTAATGGTAGGTTTATTTGAACAGTGAGAGACAGAATAACAACAAAAAAATCCAGAAAAACGCATGTCAAAATGTTATAAATTGATTTGCATTTTAATGAGGGAAATAAGTATTTGACCCCCTCTCAATCAGAAAGATTTCTGGCTCCCAGGTGTCTTTTATACAGGTAACGAGCTGAGATTAGGAGCACACTCTTAAAGGGAGTGCTCCTAATCTCAGCTTGTTACCTGTATAAAAGACACCTGTCCACAGAAGCAATCAATCAATCAGATTACAAACTCTCCACCATGGCCAAGACCAAAGAGCTCTCCAAGGATGTCAGGGACAAGATTGTAGACCTACACAAGGCTGGAATGGGCTACAAGACCATTGCCAAGCAGCTTGGTGAGAAGGTGACAACAATTGGTGTGATTATTCGCAAATGGAAGAAACACAAAAGAACTGTCAATCCCCCTCGGCCTGGGGCTCCATGCATGATCTCACCTCGTTGAGTTGCAATGATCATGAGAACGGTGAAGAATCATCTCAGAACTACACGGGAGGATCTTGTCAATGATCTCAAGGCAGCTGGGGACCATAGTCACCAAGAAAACAATTGGTAACACACTACGCCGTGAAGGACTGAAATCCTGCAGCACCCGCAAGGTCCCCCTGCTCAAGAAAGCACATATACATGCCCGTCTGAAGTTTGCCAATGAACATCTGAATGATTCAGAGGACAACTGGGTGAAAGTGTTGTGGTCAGATTAGACCAAAGTGGAGCTCTTTTGCATCAACTCAACTCGCTGTGTTTGGAGGAGGAGGAATGCTGCCTATGACCCCAAGAATACCATCCCCACCGTCAAACATGGAGGTGGAAACATTATGCTTTGGGGGAGTTTTTCTGCTCAGGGGACAGAACAACTTCACCGCATCAAAGGGACGATGGACGGGGCCATGTTCCATCAAATCTTGGGTGAGAACCTTCCCTCAGCCAGGGCATTAAAAATGGGTCGTGGATGGGTATTCGAGCATGACATTGACCAAAAACACAGCCAAGGCAACAAAGGAGTGGCTCAAAAAGAAGCACATTAAGGTCCTGGAGTGGCCTAGCCAGTCTCCAGACCTTAATCCCATAGAAAATCTGTGGAGGGATCTGAAGGTTCGAGTTGCCAAACGTCAGCCTCGAAACCTTAATGACTTGTAGAAGATCTGCAAAGAGGAGTGGGACAAAATCCCTCCTGAGATGTGTGCAAACCTGGTGGCCAACTACAAGAAACGTCTGACCTCTGTGATTGCCAACAAGGGTTTTGCCACCAAGTACTAAGTCATGTTTTGCAGAGGGGCCAAATACTTATTTTCCTCATTAAAATGCAAATCAATTTATAACATTTTTGACAAGCGTTTTTCTGGATTTTTGTTGTTATTCTGTCTCTCACTGTTCAAATAAACCTACCATTAGAATTATAGACTGATCATTTATTTGTCAGTGGGCAAAGGTACAAAATCAGCAGGGGATCAATTACTTTTTTCCCTCACTGTATCACAAAACGAGGAATGAATGCTGGCTGTCTGGGCAGCAGCTGTTGGTAAGGACAGTGTCGTTATTATGGAAAAACCTCTTGAAGCAGAACATTTGTGAACTGGAAGAAAAGTAGATAATCGTGAGTGAGTGTATGCGCAATTGTCTGGATTATGCTTGTAGCAGTGATGTATTTCATATTCTTGAAGTAGGCAGCATTAATATTTTAATTCAAGTTTGGTTGAAATGATGTTGAGGTGAAGTGACTGGATTCTGGAAATGGCTATTTTATTCTGTACGAGTGTACCTAGATTTGAAGCTTTGGTGACTTGCAGGAAAATACAATTCTTGCTGTGGTTTTCCCACCTGATGATGATTGCTTGTGTTGCAATTGAAACGTCGTGATTCATTTTATTTTATACCTACGTGACTTTACCGAAATATAACAAAGAGTACGAGTGTACCTATTAATATTTATGCAAGGTCCTGTATTTATGTATTTACATGCATATATGCGGTGAGCAATATTACATTTTCACATTGGGTCATTCAAATGTCTTCACCAGCAGCTGTGTTTACTATTCACCACCGAGATGAAGACTTGCCTATGATTCTATTCCTGGTGGAACCAGAGCTGCTGGGGGGACTGTGTGCCGTGGTTTAGGCTCCTGTCATCGGCAGGGTCGTGGAGGTAGTGGTGTGTGACCATTTTTCACTTCACTGGTAATTGTGGGTTGGTAGAGATGCCTACCCGATAAGGAAAACATACCATGCTCACACAGGCCAACCCCTGTCTCCTGTTGTCACACTGTAATTCAGGGTCTTTACAGCAACAGCCACTGCAGTTGCACCTTCCACTGCGATCTATACTATTTTGAGCGACTCATTGTAATCTTCAACATTTAAGGCAATTTCAGCCAAACAACCTGTTTAAAAAAAAATCTCAGACCGTCCAAAAATATTAATTTGGTGGAATGCTGGCAAAGTTATTGACGCACTGAACTTTGAACCTGGTGACATGTGTACGATTCCTGGCCATGGCTAACAAGAGTGACGAGTCGTTTCTGACCAATTCCTGGGCACCTGCTTCACCAAACCCATGCTAACCAGCATGGTTACGAATGTTCAAGAAAACCCTCAAGATCAAAATGTGGAAAGATCCTTTGGTCATCGGTAAACAAATTATTTGGAGATGCTGCATTGGCAGTGATAAACGTGTACAATGAACAACAAACTCAACAAACTTTTCTTAAAAGAAGAAATATATAATATGTACATGTTATGCTTATGCCACGGAGAAGCCACCATTGTTACTTACCATTTGCTTTTGCTGTTTTGGCAGGTTATTGATGAATGTGAGTTTTATTTTATTAACCACTAGATTAATAAACCGCTGTACATTATAAATATGAGTAGTGTGTGTATATACATGTACCATTTGCCAAAGAGGCTGTGATGCATGCGCATGCAGATGGATGCCTTGAACCGGAGCTGCACGGTGTGCGTGCATTGTGGTAGCCACCTGGTGAAGATGGTGGTGGCTTTCCCTGTGAGCTACCCCAACAACGCTGTTCCCACCTTCAAGTTCATCAGCCCAACCTCCATCGATGCCTCTACGAAGACACGCCTACTCAAGGTGAGTGCCGCCACATTCTGCCAGCTCGGTGGCATCGATACTCGGTGTTTGGGGTAGAGATCGTGTACGTTTGTTGCTTCCTCTGCAGGGAGACGCCACTACTTTGTGAGCTGCTCCAATCTGAATGTTTAGCTCTGTCTCTACAGGCCTGTTTATTAGGTGCCCTGCCATAATAATTGTGACACCAACCAGCAGGTGATTTGCATTTCGTTTGACCTCCTTTGGATATTCACATCTCTGTTGCTCATGGCTTTTAAAAAAGTAACAATTTTACACCTTCCATTAAGAGTACTTTATTGTAAAGTATAGGTGGAAGTAACTTGGAATTTTACATGTGATCTGTACACTCTATAATACTAGTGTAGGAATGATATTGAAACGAAAAATTATAAAGAAAGAAGCCACTTCAAATATTTGTTACCTGTTGGTTTGCCTCAAGTGTCCTTTGGCAAACTAAGATATTTGTAGTTTTACAGTTGTAATTAAATCGTTCCAGACTCGTAGAGCCAAAACCAAAGGTCACACATGTGGAATGGTTAGACCAGTGGAGAGATGTCCCAAGCCAGTGTATATGTGGACGCCACAGTGGCGAGATGTTAACTCCCTTGTCTGGTATACAGGAGGTCGTGGGTTCGATCCTGACCCTGATGCCTGTATATTTGGAGTTTTCATGTCTCTCCCCCCGTGGTCGCGTGGATATTTCTCCGGGTTCTCCGGGTCCTCCGGTTTTTCCCTCTGTGTTTAGAATCGACATGCGTTTAGAGCATTTGGCTGCTGTACACATCCACGTGATAAGCCACTTAATGGAGCTATCATTGTGGCCAGGTCGCTTCTGAAAAAAGCTATATGGCTCGGTGAGCCTTACCTGGTAAAATAAAAAAATAGTTTATTATTTTGGAATATGACCATTGTGCTGTGGGCCTGTCCACACCCGTTGTTTTGTCGCTGCTCAGACTCTCAAGGACACTTCGCTGCAGAAGGTGAAGAGGAACCAGAACTGCTTGGAGCCGTGCCTGTGGCAGCTCGTGTCCTCGCTGGAGAGCATTGTGGTGAGTGCCCTGTTCGCTCCTCCATCCCTCAATGCCCGCATGTGTTATTTGTTTCCATCGTGAAACTGAACGTGCCATGTTGAGGCCGACCTAGCAGGGTTAACGACGAGCCCTGGGGGGGGCGTAATAACTCCATCGTGGGATATTCTACAGAAGAGGCCATGTGCATTAGGGCGACAGGTTTCAAAATGTGTTTTTTTTTTGGGTATGTATTTGGGATATCGAACGACGGGGCTAAGAAGTGAGACTGGCACAGTGGGTTGGAAGTCTGAGCATACGAATGGCAAATCCCGTGAATGATCCACATACGGTGTTAAAAAGTCGATTTCACAGGTCTATTGTATATAAATCCCTACAGAAATGTTTTGTTTGGTGCTGGAATCGAACTGCTGACTCGCTGCAAACTGATACAGCAGTGCTTGTTGCATTTGGGTTCAAAATTGCAACTACATCGACACAGATATTTTCCATATACCCTTACATTTTCTTTGTGCGAGTTCTGTCAGCAAACACCCATGCAGGCTGGCACAGCACACAAGGGTGTTGTAGTCAGCATCACTTCCAGTCACGCCCATTGCTGCTGTTTCCACATCCTGCCATATAGTCATTGAAAGCTGTGGCAACCGTAGGGGAGGTCCAGGATAAGTTTAGATACCCCTTGTCACTTGTTATCCATGGCCAGGAATTGAACCAAGGTGACCATGTTTGTAGTGCAAGTAAGCCCACCGGTGTCACCTTCATGTTTGCAAACATGCGTTCTCACTCGGTTACACGCTCGCGCAATTAGATGTGTTTCCACAGATTGTCTCGTGTACCATGCTTTATTGGAAGCATGTTCAAGTTAAATGCAACACCGTGCTTATGGACTCTTATTAAATTCATATGCATCGACCGAATTAAGGGTTAATGCTGCTTACCATTTTATCAGCAATGTGATCAGCAATGTAATGCTTTGTTGTGTGCGTATCATTATGAAATCGCAAACAAAAGATTAAATGTATTCATTATACAATTAGGTGGCTAAGGTCTTTGCTTAGCTTAACATAACCAGGTTAGCTCTGGCAGGACCCATCAATAATAATGCAATGATTGATGTGCTTTGCAGCTTAGAGTGGGATTCTTAATGTTGAGAAGCCTTGCAATCTCCGCCCCATGAGACTTTTTACAGCTGTTACCTCTTCTACTGAAAGCACGGCATCTACGTTAGAATGCTGCCATATTTTTACATGAGTGGTTAAAAAATAGGTCTCATTGTTTAATGTCTTAACGATCTACTTTGCTAGTTGGAGTGCATTCTGCCCAGGCGATCCTTGTAAGAATGTTCATTTTCACCACTGAAACATTGTTACAGAACCACTGCTATGAAGGCCAGCACTATTATTACATGTGTTCTTGTGAAACTAAAATGTTCGTGCCCCTCGGGTTCCCCAGTGGAGTAGGTAGGGGGTTGGGTGGGCTTGTCTCTCTGTGTTTGTGTTCGTGTCACTGCGTTAGTCTGTCTTTTTGTGTTTCTCTTTGTGCGACTGCATCTTTGTTTAATTCGTGCCGGTCTCTGTCTTTATGTTAGTCCGCGTGTCATTTTGTGTTATTCAGTGTCTCTGTCACTTTCTATGTGTCTGTGTTTTTTCCCTCTCTGGATCTTCGTTTCTTTGTGTCTCACTGATTTTATGTGTCTCTGCGTCTCTCTCTCTCTTACCCCATTTGCAAATGTTCATGCCCCTTATACATTCACAGTGTCAAAATATCGATCGGCTAGATTTGGTTGGCATTTTGTTCATCACCCTCACTGTCAGCATCGTTTCAGCGATTACAAATTTCATTGGCTGCCATTAAGGAACCTTGCAGCACCAACAGATAGCTCTTGAGATGAAGCCCTATGATTTTTTTTCGTCCTTGACTTCTCCTGTTGGGCTGCTGTTCGTGTCGCGTATGTAAGTGCGCGGGCGTGTGTGTCTGCTGCGCCTGAACGGAGCTGTTATTTTAATTTGTGTTGATGTAGGGCTCTCGTAGCCAATATACAGCATTCCTTGTGCTTTTGGCCTTGGGTCGACACTGTAAATCTCCTTCACATTTGCCTGGAGCATATGCAGTGGTGCTAAAATATATACGTTGCTTAGAAATGGGCAGTAATTGCACATGGTACATAGAAAATATTCTTCCAGTGAGAATTCTGGACTTGTGGTTGCGGAGGCATCCAGCAACAACAGTTTGTTTCGTAGAGAAATCTGTACATTGTACACATACGAGACACAGCAATTAGGCAGCAAAGCTATCAATGTGCGACATTTGCGGAGCGATATGCTCAGCCAAGCTACTATTTAACATTGTAGTAACACATGCTCTAATGAGAAGACAGATGGTGTGGTTATGTAATTAAAATGGAACCAAAATGGATTAGCAGGGAGAATTATGCTGGAGCAATCAAGAGGTAAACACATATGTTGAGCATGATTCTGTCTCAATTGCCTTGCAGAGTGTTTAGGGGTTAAGTTTCAGGACTTAAATGTTTTTTTGTCTGCTGGCGATAGACAGGTAAATTTTCTGAATAATATACATTTGCAGCCATTTGTAAATGCATTGCTGATGAAGGCCCGCTAACCACATTTTACGGCGATAGGGTGTGTTTGACCGTCCGTTAATGACGCTGGTCGCGGTGTGTGTTGGTTAAGTGGGCGGCAGAGGAGGTGTAGAACCGGTTCACTTGTCGCTGTTGTTAGCCCGTGGCCAAGAATCGATATCCGGTCACTGGGTTCATAGTGCAGTGGTTTAACTACTGCGCGAGTGCTCCGCACATCAAAACAAAACATAACGGTCAGTCAAATTACACTCCCGAGTCCTGTGTTTAACCAGGTGATATGGCACACCGAGATTTTGTCGCTCACTTGCAAGGGACAACTGGGCATTCAGAGTTATGTATAGACTTTTATTGTACGTTATTTTACGTAGTGTGTCCAGCCATAGTGGACATTTTCACGTTTCCAATTTATAGTTTTATTTGACGTATACACAGTTTGGTTTGTGACTGTCCCAAATGAGTTCACTAAGAGTGCAAACTGCCCAGATTTGCTTGGCACATAAGGAACCGTTCGCGTTACCAGTTACGGGTGTCGACATCCAATTAGAGAAAGTCTACACATGTTGTAAAGCTCGAGGTGTGACGGCAAAAAGCTATTTACAGCACCTGTTCTCAATTCTTGAAAGAATGCGTGTTAAAACAATCGCTGCTCCGTTCATCTGTTTTTACTCCGGTACGCATTACGATGCTGTACGTGAAAGATATCGCTTTTGGTTTTGGCCCCCGCACACTTGAAGGGACAAATGTAACTCTACATTCATCCATCACTTCAGCCAACCCCGTGTGTCTTAAATTGAATTCTTGAGAATTGCATCGAAAATGATTTACAGTGCATTTACCTTAGGTGTTGCTGGGGCATGCCTTGCCGCGCACTGAGAAGCACAGTGTTCATCAGTGTCTGACACCGGGTCCGTTTGCACGTGTCCTGGTTACATTCTGTTTGCTTTGCTTTACGCTCGGTGGAATTATCGAACTTCTAAGGTATATTTCGGGGACTCTGCGCTATGCTTAGCAAGTTACAAGGCTGTTGTTTTACGGGGTCGTGATGGGAATTGACCACATTTAAAAAAAAATAATGCCACAATGTCCTTATTGTGAAATGCAAAAAAAAAACCCCCTCCGTGTCTCTGAAGCCACCCTGCCAACAGGATGTCGAAGTCTCTAGTCGGTCAGTGCTGCATAAAGAAGTTGCATAAATAAGTAAGCAGGCTGACTCGTTGTGCTAATTAAAGCCAAGTTTAATTATTTCCTTGTTATGGAAATAAACAAGTATCGTCATGTGCGTCTTAATGTTTACAGAGATCCCTGTTTTTAGTTACGGGATTAAATGCATTTCCATGACATTGGAGACAAATTACCAATATCACCTTAGGGTAACCAATGCAGCAGCTGCTTTCGTGAAAATATATATGAGAGGAATTGTCAGAATGTTTATGATAAACTAACTTGAACAAAATGTGGTAATGAATGGACTTGGGTCGCATGTATTAGCTGAGACAAGTTCACTGCACAGGTGCTTGTTAGTGAGGAATGCTTTTGCTCCAGATGACTAGACTGCTGGCTGAATTAATTAATTTATGTTCATAATAAGCCGACAATCGCCTGTGGAGAAGCGGGCATATTACGCGCACGGCAGATGCCGTGCTTTGCTCTTTGTTGATAAAATTCAAATTAATCGCAGCGAGTCTGAGCCTTAACGTGGAATCGATTCGTGCTATGTTTGATATATACCCTGAAAAGTATCCCCATTACAGTTTGAAAGCATCATACACGTAGGAGTGAGCAGGGGGTGGTGGTGGCGGCGGCGACCACCCACCCCATCTTGTGTCTTTTATTATGAGCATTGTTTACCCAGGAAAGCCTCGCTGAGTCTCATGACTGTTCGTAGGGTTCTGCCAAGTTTTCACAGGAGGGGAACGATGGTTACAAATGTATATTCCAATTTGCGTGACCATGACACCAGCGGCACGTCCACTGTGAAGCTGACGGCATGTATTGTCATGGTTATTACGCTTGCAGTGATAACCAGGGCAGCTGCTAGATTCGTACTGTGAACCTCTGCAACAATCGGCGAACACGCCACCACTAAGCCATGTCACAGTCTGTGCAATAAGTGCATGTAAGCGCCACTTGTCTTCACTGCTTGGGCCCTCAACTTATAACCCTTATCTTCGCATTGGAGCTTAGGGAGCGACATTAAATACTGAAAAGCTTGCGGCGCTGCTTGTGATCTCCGCTTAACATAATGCACGCACTTCCCAGGTACGTACCAGGGCATGCATTGTGAAACTCGGACACGTGTGCTTAATTTATATTTAATCTATATAGGACAATTACAACACCAAAAAAGGAGCAGTGCATCGAGGCCAAACACAAATGAGGACACCAGCACACCTTCACAAAAGGTTTTTAAACCTATACACGATACCCATGTTGCCTAAGCAGTTGTGCGTAAGTTCTAGTTGATGGTTAAAGGGGGGGAAGTGTCCCTCCAAAAGGCAGAAACTGTTCATTTGGTGAGATTTCTGTAACGTTCAAAGCACAAACTGCACAGCTTGGTCCTAACCCAACCACCCCCTTAGACGTTATCCATTGTCATGAACAAGCATCGATTTCAGTTGTGACTGAAAACACACACGAATGTCTCTTAAATCTAATCTTTAGAAATTGGGAATAGCGCTTAATGCAAGCCCTCGAAGCTAACTATTTACATTGTGCAAACGTGAATGTTGAATACAGAGATGCCCTGACCACGTAACTCTTCCTACACGATCTTACAATGGGCGGATTGTACGTTTGTGACATAGTCTTAAAATAATGCACACTTGCCTTGACTGCTGGGCTCAAGGACAATTGTATGTCACTCCTCGCGCATCATCTGCGGGCCAAGTGGGTGACAGCTGCTGCTCATGACAAAGATCCTGTTTGGCTCCGTGACAGTGGGCGCTTTCGTAATGATTTTTTAAAGTAAAAAAAATAAAAGCAAACCAAGCGGTGGTGCAGACGTGGAATACGAATTTCAGCTCTCCGTTTGCTGAATGTCGCCTGGGAGAGTGCATGCGACCGTTGGAGTGCATGACTACAGCGTAGTGCGGGCTGTGCGCCTTCCGCGGCGGTGCTCCGTTAAACGGTCTCGACATACCCATCCACGCGCAGATCTAAGTTACTTTTCTTTTTTCAAAAGGAAGAGGCTAGGGTGTCATACTTGGATTTTTCAACGCTGCACGGCTCGTTTAAGCTCGCCTATCATTTCGCCTAAGTTGGAATACAGGCTGCGGTAGGTTGCACTACTTTCAGCCTCTCTTTCGCTCCCCAATATGTCCCGTGCTCAGTAGCATATCTCGTACGCCACCTGACCCTCTTCCAGCTCGTGATCCAGAGGGTTTTCAAGGATAAGACCGTAGGTCTGCGTCGCTTGGTCAAAGTTGAGGTCGCCGTAGTTGCTCGTCTTAATGAATTCCGCGTCAGACGAGTTGCCGGGGCAGAATGGCTGCCGCTCGTCGGCATGCGACGGCAGGGCATCCGTGAGCCGCCCCGTGCCACCGGCCCTCTCCGCTACGCTGGGCCGCCGACCAGGATTGATGACGTACATCTCCCGCCCGCTCTCCCCGCGGAACTCCTCGAGCTGCCCGCATGTTGTGGGGCCTTCGGTGAAGGCGTTGATGTAGGAGATCTCGTCGTCCCTCTTGCCGCGGGCGCGGACGGCCTTCCTGCGGTGGCGCACGAGGGCGACGAGCAGCGTCGCCACCGTCGCCGCCAGCAGGGCGATGCCCGACGCGATACCGGCCTGCGTTGACGCGGCCATCGCGGCAAAGTCCACGGTGCCGGTGGCGGCGGCAGTCCCTTCGACCACAACGGTCACCGCCTCCTCGGCACGCAGCCACGACGGCTCGGAAGCGTCGACGCCGAGGAAGAACGTGGCCCCGTCGGAGCCGGCCGCGTTGACGGCCTCGCAGCTGTAGGCGCCCGCGTCTCCCTCGGTCACGTTGACGATGTCGAGCGTGGCGCGGTTGCCCGGCGTGACCGTATCATTCGAAGCCGCGGCCGCCGCTGCCGCCACGTCCTCCTCCCACGCGCTGCCATCGCGGTGAGCGGAGCCGTTGAAGTGCCCCGTGCCGCCCACGCCGTGCGTCCTCCCCGTAGCGTCGCCGCCGTGACTCAGACGCTTCCAGGAGACCCTCGGCTCGGGGAGTCCCGTCGCGCTGCACAGCACGCTGCCGTTCTGTCCGGCCGTGAGCTGTATTCGCTGCCGGTCGATGTGGACCTGCGGCACGGTGCAGGACATGGCCTCCAGGGACACCTGCTCCATTCGGAGCCCTGCCAGCGCCGGGGGTCCCCAGCAGGTCAGGTTTATGGACCTGAGCTGCAGCGGTGCCAAAGCCGTGTCCTGTTGCAGCTCTTTAAGCCACTGCAGGGTGCAGTCGCACTGCCAGTGGTTCCCTGTGGTGGAGCAGCGGGGAGAAGAGTTTCAGGTGACATAGAGAGGCCTTTTACGGTGGCTGCTAGTGTAAGTGATAAACCATTTCACACCTTCTTGCAAAGTTATATCGCATTGTTCGAGGCACTGAAGTGTTTCTGCTTATGTCGGAGATGTACAAGCATCGTCAAAGAAGAAGATCTGTTGTGTCTGAACGAGCAATGTTAGCAAATTTGAACTCTGACACCGACATACTGTGGCCACCATTTCCAAACAATGTCAAAGGCTCTCTAAATTCCTGCACTGCAGCAGGTGGCACACTTTGGAATCAACCCCACGCGGAAATTCCCAGTTTGCCACAGGAATCCAACCGTTGAACTTTTGTTTGCTTGGCTCTGAGAGCAGTGAATTCAGGGGCTGCATAAATATTCCGCATGCTGCATCACCACACAACGGGACCCAACGCCGAGGGTGCACCCACCGGTCAGGCCCAGCGTGCTGAGGCCCCTCATGGGCGACAGCAGCTCCTCGTTCAGGCTTCGCAGCTCGTTGTGCGACAGGTCGAGCAGCGCGAGCGCGGCGAGCGATCCGAACGCGCCCGCCTCCACCCAGCGGATGCGGTTGTGCTGCAGGCGTAGCTCCTGCAGGCGAGCGAGTGGCTCCAGTGGCCCCGCCGGCACGCCGCCGATGGAGTTGTTGTTGAGATACAGCTGGCGCAGGTTTAGGAGGCCGGCGAAGGCGCCCGCGGGCAGCGTGGTGAGCCTGTTGGAGGCCAGGTTGAGCTCCCTGAGGGCCGACAGGTCCGTGAAGAGCCCATCTTCCTCTCCATCGGCCCCGGCCAGCGAGGAGATGTGGTTCTGCTGCAGGTACAAGCTCTCGAGGTGATGGGCACACGCATGGAGCGCGTGCGTGTGTAGCCGCGAGAGCCCATTGTCCTGCAGGTACAGCACCTGGGAGGAGAGCGCAACCAATCCTTGTACGCACTTAAGGAGATACACTGCATTAAATGCATCTTGTGCCTTTGGCTTTGTAAGAAAGAAAGCTGTTCAAAAGTCACTGTGAGGAGCATGCTGATGACAACTGTGGTCCCACGGCTGTACTGGTTAACACGATGTCCCTGCTTTAATGAAATGTAAGCACTCCTGACAGATTGAATTGTCTATTTTTCCTCAAGCTTCTGTCAGACAGCGCTGGAATACACAGCTTCAGTGCATATCTACATGAAAATAGATAGTTGGGTTTTGGTGTCACCATGGAAAAAAGTGGCTTTTCTTGAGAAGCATTTATTAATCTAAATAAAACTAAATGATATAAACCGACACGGATTATTCGCCCTGAGTGCGCTTGAAATGAATGTGAGATTTCTTAAGAGCTGACCTTGTGCATGTGTGTGTATAGTGGATAGTCATAAACAGTACTGTCTGGAATCAGGTTTAAAGATATAAATTCATCTCTAGTCATGACCTCATATGCCAGGCCCGGTTTTATGAAGTCAACGGCGATGTTGATGCTGTTAAATGATTACACCTGATTGATTGAAACGCATTAGTCACGTGTATATATATGTGTGTGTGGAGTGATAGTGCAGTGGTTAGCACATTGCTGCTTTGATTCCCATTCACAGCCAACACGAGTGACGATTATCTGGACAGGTCCTGGGCCTCCCATAGGTTGGCTCGGCCTCAAACTAGTACCTGGTGCAGTGTGTACACATCACCACTGGGGAGACAAAGGCGGCCAGGTGTGGAGCTGGCCACCCACCCCCTTTGTATGTCGTGCCAGCCTTCAAAGGCGCTCAGTAATAGCACTTTCCCCAACAATCTGTTAAGCCTTTACAGGGGATCTTTGTCTTTTTTCTTCTTAATCAAAGCCCAGTTCATTGACTGACAGATGGGAGCTTTCTTGGTACATCTAGCAATAAAACGTTTTAGAAATGTTCTGCCTTTGGCCATGCATTCGCAGCAGGAAAGTTAGCGGGGGACTGACGATTGAACACGGCACGACAAAAAATTGGCTACAGTTGTTTAAACAGACGAATTATTTAATAAGTAACTTTAAAAAAAATATGTAAATATTAATGTTGTTTCGGTGTGTAGGGCTTGCATTGGCTATCACAGGTTAGTTAATGTTGTTTAATACTGCTCTTGTTAACTTTTGGAATTTAGTTTTACAAGCTTAATCATTGGGATATACGCATTTCCCACTTCTCATTTGAAAAAGAGACATGGGTCTCAGTAGACTTAGCCAAGTTAAGATCGGTAAGTAGCATTGAAAACATGCCTTTCTCGCTGACAGAAGACCTAAAGGGATTATTGTTGGCCCAGTCGGCAGTCGTGACGCATGTTGGCTGCAAATGTCCAAAATTGTCATTTGCGCATTTCTTGCGAAGCTGACCTCAGCAATGACCTAGAAACGTACAGGTAATTCATTCTTTATTTCTCAGAACGTGTGTGCATGTGTTCATCCCTTCGCTCTCTTTCCATTTCCTGAGGCTGCAGTCCGTTTTTGGAGCTTGGCCCTGAGCAAAACACAATGTCCTTTTCCTTCAAATAAATGGGACGTGCACAAAAAGTTCTGGCCGTTTAGATTCACTAATGAGATTTGGATGAATTCTTATCGTGCCCAGTTCAAATGTTATGGTTACGGAGTGCACGACCAACACAGTTTAATCTGCCAGAGCAACGATCATTTTTAAACATACACACACACACACGTTTGTTTGTGGGTGTGTATATATAAGCTGCTTGCTAACAGCACTTGCCGCAAAAGTCTGTTAAGGATATGCAGGGGATCTTTGTAAAAAAAAAGTCGAACGCTCTTCATTCTCCATAATAAAGGTTTTTGGGTTAGATCGCGTTATTTATAAATGTGTCGTAACCCTCCACCACCCGACACGGCCAATCAGCAAAAAAGTGTCACGTTGACAAAAGACAAATAGTTCACTACTTTAGCCCACCGGTGTGTTGAAGAGTGAATCCACAATATTTACAGTTTGAGTACGACGTTTCGCTGGTAATTACATCCAGCATCATCGGGCAATTCGCCCAATGATGCTGAATGATTCACTCTTCAACACACCGGTGGGCTAAAGTAGTGAACTATTTGTCTTTTGTCAACGTGACACTTTTTTGCTGATTGGCCGTGTCGGGTGGTGGAGGGTTACGACACATTTATAAATAACGCGATCTAACCCAAAAACCTTTATTATGAATAATAATGGTCGCGAAAGCCTACGTGTTAAGCTCTTCATTCTGTAATCTTTTCATATGTGTAATACACACGGGGAGAGCGTATGACAGCGTTCAGCGTAAATAATTGTCCTTGGATTACAAAACATAGCTGAGATTGTGATTATCATGATCCTAGAAGCCAAAATGTAAGGGATTTACTGCACAATAATTGTCTGTTACCACCGCCAATAATTATTGTCATGACCTGACAAAATGTAGTTTCGCGCTTTAATAAAAAGAGCATTAATAAAACACCGTAAATTAATGTGCACATTCCATTCTTTGTAAGTGATACAATGCCAGGATTAACGACCGTCAGTAGAGCTTACTTTCACGAGGGTCGTGAGTTGAAATTCCAGGCAGGAATCGGCTCAACCACATCACCTATATCATTGCTAGGCATGTAACAATTTGTGATTAAAAATAATTATCTCCTTTTAATATAGCACCAAGATTCCGAAGATTCTAAGGGGTTTGCTGGTTAATTCGTTTGAACTCCCACTTCCAAAAGCTCGTCTGGACTTTAGTGTTTTAGTTATCGCTCTGCGGTAGACTCTCCACTCGAAGGCAGTGGGTATCCCCCAGCTGAGTGAGTTCCAGATGTCTGTCGCAGATGTACTGCAGCCCTGCTCAGCTGTGATGGGGTTGGTTACTTTGCATCACTTACAGGGTTGGGTTAGCACAGTACATGAACGCAGCACATGACAATGAGTATGAACCTTTCACCGAGGCATGGCTGCTTTCCAGATCAGCTGATTTTATTTACCACACCCCCAGTGATTGTAGGAATTGTCACAATTTGAGTTTTTTTTTAATTATCCATTGGTTTTGTAACAATTTGTACGTAGCCAACCGCACAAATTGGGTTAGGGGTTGCTTACGATTTTCTTGTAAATTGCATAAATTCTTAACGATGAATTCTTACATGATCATTCTGATACATGTATTGTTGGAGTAAGAATACATTTGAATCTGTTTAATGTATCGTTTAATGTACACAGTGACGTCGCTTGTCCTAACTCCCCTCTTTCAATGAACCTCTATCCCTGGGTTCCTCGATGCAAATCTCACTGGCTCGATGCCCTGATCTCCAGGTCCACACTCCATGTGGCCTGGCCTGGCCTGGCTGTGCCACCCCTTGCCGCGTGTGCCAGCTGCCACTCCGGCTGCTCCTACTGACAGTTGTGCGAGCGTGTGTGTGTACGCCGTCGTTCGATGGGCCATATGGTGTGTCGGGCACTGGCCTGGATCCACGAGCCATTGTGTATAATCTACTGTCCGGGGCATGGTGCACAGACTCTATTGAGAAGGTGTGTGTGTGTATTGAACGGTTCGTGCGCTGCGCTACGATCCCAGTGACCTCCGGGTTCGATTTCTGGCCACCATCAGTCACAAGTGGTAACCGAATCTATCCTAGACCACTTTTAGATTGACTTGGCTTTATATGAAAACCTGATGACGTATGTGAACATCAGTGCTGGAGACAAAAGCAGCCAAGCATGGTTCTGGCCATACCCCATTATGTGCATCCTGGCCTTAATGATTGCTCACTAACAGCACTTACCTTCTACTGTTTATCGAACCCATTGGGTGATTGCCTTTGTTTTTGTGTGTGTGGATCAGGGGAGCTTTGGTATAGTAGCCAAAAAACATACTGCGCATGGGTTCGATGCGCGCCGCGGTGGCGAGATGTTGACTACCTCACCCGGTATACTGGAGATCGTGGGTTGGATCCCGACCCTGATGTCTGCTGTATATTTGGAGTTTGCATGTTCTCCCCGTGGTCGAGTGGATTTTTCTCCCGAGTCCTCCAGTTTTTCCCTCCACATTTAGAATCAACATTAGTTTATAGAGCATTTGGCTGCTGTAGTTTCCACGTGATAAGCCACTTCGTTGAGCTATCATTTTTAATAGCCAGATCGCTTATAAAAAAGAGCTACATTGCTCAGTGGGCCTTACCTGTTAAAAACAAAAAAAAAGTGTTTTTTATTTTTTATAGATTTGTAGCAAATGCACAACATGTGGCAGCAGGTCGTGCGTGGACCGCACGTGCGCGTTGGGGGCGGAGGGGTGGCGGAGGGCAAGGTCGCACCTGGGTCGTGTTGGGGATGGGACCGGGCACTCGAGTCAGCTGCCGGGAGCCGCACTCCACCGCTCGGCTGTAGCACTGGCACTGCCCAGGGCAGCCTCGCCCGGTGAGCACGCAGCTCAGCCACACGCCCAGCAGCGTGGGCACCGCCGCCCGGCTGCTGTGCACGCGCATCGCTGGGGCGGAGGGTGGCGACGTTTCACGACGTGTTGCGGAGTTGCAGAGGACGGGACGATGCTTGACCAAAATCTCTGCCCGCACACGCGCACACGCGCACACAGTCCCGCAGCTCTGTTTTAATGTTTCGATAAAGTCTTCGGAGGGAAGATGGATTGTATGCTTCTGATGATTTCGTTGCCTGTGACCCAGTCATCCGCAATGTGCCTCTGATCTCTCCAGATCTCAGAAGCTAAGCAGAATTTTGGCTGGATAGTGAGCTTGAATCGGCGAACACCATGTACAAACAGGTTGCTGTAGGCTATGTGGGCAGCAGAGGGCAGTGCATTAAATACATTGCTGTACCAGTACTGAACTTAGGACCCCACAACTATGCTCTCTGCTATTACCATCCCACACTGACGAGTGTGCAATATGGTCAATTAACCCCCACGACTCGTACGGTGTGGTGAATAATTGTAAATCCAGGGGTGGATTTACAATTAATCACCACCGCTTGACGGATTTTCAAGATTCGACTCGCTAATATGTTTATGTTGTGGTAGGTGTATTTTCATGAACTGATTATACGCAGCATACACATTTTAAATAACGGAGTCTGACATTGCAAGATTTGATGAATGCATATAATTAAAACCCCAGCTAGCCGGAATTTGTGTTTAGCCGGACCAGGTCATCGAATTATAAAACAATCCGTAATGCACATTAAAGGAAAGAAATCTAAAAAGAATTCAAGCATGTTCCACTGTGTGTGTATTAAAATACGTAGTCAGAGTGTATTACATGTGAATGTATGTCCGGTAAAACGTTAGGGGAACGACGGTGGGCAAGGGGAATTGGTGGGGCACTGCCAAACCCTTGAACTGCCAACTTCATTACTGCACAGCACGGCACACGGCACACATGCCACAAGTATTTTTTAAAAATGTCTGTACGCTAACCAGCACGTAGACTACATGCACTAATGCGTGTATTACATAGACACATAGTGTGTGTTATATTTATACACGTGTGTATTGTTTTTTTTAAACGTAGATTTTAATTGCAATCGCGGCTAAGCTTTTTCAGCTCGCACGAGCTCCTCCCCTGCGTTATTCCGGTTCGCCAGGGTTTCTCTCCAGTGCGCATGATGTATATTCATTATGTCTGTGCATCGTTAGATCCGCGAATGGGTTACTCGGCCAAAGTAGTGTTGTTACTGAAGTTGTTATATCTGTGCTAACGAGATTCATCGTTAGTACACAACTAGGATCCCAGGTTGTCATGTTGGATGGTAAATAAATAATGGCCACGTTTTATAATGCATTGCTCTCCGTTATACTTGTGTATATCACTGGATGAAATGCCTCTGTGTGTTCCTTAATATCCCGGACTTCCAAATTGTAGGTTTTTTTTACATATAGATGATAATAATCCAATTCAAGTAATTCAGTGAGATATTTGGAGAATTTTGTAACAAAATATTTTTCGGGGAATTGCTAATAAATTAGGTTGAAAATAAGTTTGTAAAATATAAGCAACATCTTGGCATTCAACATGCACGTCTAACTCGGGCTTTTGAAATTGACACATGGTGGTATGTAAGAGGTAACCAGGTAACTTGTGACATACGGTGATACGGGATAGCATTCTCCTTCAACTACAATCTGCTGCTCTTTAAAAACCCCATTAACCAGATGGGGTTTTCTTTATTTTCTCTTTGTTTCTACCACCCCAATTTTGCTGGGGGGGGGGGGGGGTGGTCTTTAAGCAATAGATTCGCAGAGCAGACTGTCATCGGCAACATTACCCTAAATAAGCTTTTTTTTCTTCTGCACATCAATGTAATAAACTCGCACTTGTTTCTCAGTGGTTTAAAAATACACCGAACTGCATGGGCCTGAATGATACAATTTAACTGCCTTTTGGTAATGGATTTTTATTATAATGAACTCTGGAAATATGTTGCATTGCACATTTCAAGATGCTGCATAAGCACTTTTGGTTTTATTAATTAGCAAATTTTCCTGTACGTTTTCACTTTCAGTTTTCATGCACACTGGCTGCATTGTTGATGGATTTACCTGCATTACAAAGATGCCAGTTTCGTTCAGCAATAGCTCGCCGCAGTGCACAACCACCCCAAACGTGAATGCAACCTACCACTGCGGCGCGTTTAAAAACCACATGCGCTCGCACTGGCAATGCCTTCCAATGCATATCCTCTTGCTGTGTCAGCAGACAAGTTTTCAGATCTCCAAGGCTGCTGCTTGCTGCTGCTGCTGCAATGATGCTAAGAAAGACGAACCAAATTTCGGTGAAGACCATTATCAGGTCTTCAGTGAGTTTTCTTTTGCAAAGCTCAGTGGCTCAATACATCGTGCCCAATTGGAAAAAATACTGAACCTGGTTTTTTTGACCAATGCTATTTTATATTATAAGGAAAACTATCTCGGGTGTGGGCCAATCAAATTCAAGGACAGTGCATACATTATCAGAGTTATGTTTTTTGTTTGCATTCTGACCGCAGGTATTGTGGTCAATGCAAACATGACTCCTTGTAAAAAATGGTGTCAGTTTTGTTGCCAGATAAAAGGGTAAAAAAACAATTATCATATTTTGCTACTGGCCAAGGAGGTTCCAATGGTGTCAACGCTATCTTACTTTAGAGGTCTCAATTTAATCAAAGCAGGGCCTCTTCAAGTAGAAAATCATTAACTTTGGGATGCAAAAAGCACTAAGTTTTGTTCAGCTCTATATAATGGACGTTTTGCGAAGCGGAGGTGGTGATATGCTACTTGTGGTTTTTATTGGAGTTGCGAAAAACACTTGGCGTGGATTGATTTTAAGTACCGCACAAGTTTGAGAGTGGAAACCAAAATGTTAGTATTTTTAATAGGAAATCCGTATTCTCCTTGCCTCTCCCTGCGCCAAGTCCGATTGCTTTTCTTGTCACTGCTTGTTGCAGGTTTGCATCTCGCAAGCACCAAAATGCTTCCCACTACAAATGTGGTTCCGGTTTGTCGTCCGTGTGCAAAGTTTCGCTCGCATACGCACGCTGGTTTGCGTTAACCTCCTTCGCAGGCACCGGGGAATGGGTTTGACGCCCGTGCGCAGCTGCTCTCTACAGTGAGGGGAAAACAAAAGTATTTGATCCCCTGCTGATTTTTTATATGTTTTCCCACTGACAAAGAAATGATCAGTCTATAATTTTCATGGTAGGTTTATTTGAACAGTGAGAGACAGAATAACAACAACAAAAATCCAGAAAAAACGCATGTCAGAAATGTTATGAATTGATTTGCATTTTAATGAGGGAAATAAGTATTTGACCCCTCTGCAAAACATGATTTAGTACTTGGTGGCAAAACCCTTGTTGGCAGTCACAGAGGTCAGACGTTTCTTGTAGTTGGCCATCAGGTTTGCACACATCTCAGGAGGGATTTTGTCCCACTCCTCTTTGCAGATCTTCTCCAAGGCTGACGTTTGGCAACTCGAACCTTCAGCTCCCTCCATAGATTTTCTATGGGATTAAGGTCTGGAGACTGGCTAGGCCACTCCAGCACCTTAATGTGCTTCTTCTTCAGCCACTCCTTTGTTGCCTTGGCCGTGTGTTTTGGGTCATTGTCATGCTGGAATACCCATCCACGACCCATTTTCAATGCCCTGGCTGAGGGAAGGAGGTTCTCACCCAAGATTTGACAGTACATGGCCCTGTCCATCGTCCCTTTGATGCGGTGAAGTTGTCCTGTCCCCTTAGCAGAAAAACACCCCCAAAGCATAATGTTTCCACCTCCATGTTTGACGGTGGGGATGGTGTTCTTAGGGTCATCGGCAGCATTTCTCCTCCAAACACGGCGAGTTGAGTTGATGCCAAAGGGCTCCATTTTGGTCTCATCTGACCACAACACTTTCACCCAGTTGTCCTCTGAATCATTCAGATGTTCATTGGCAAACTTCAGACGGGCATGTATATGTGCTTTCTTGAGCAGGGGGACCTTGCGGGCCTTGCATGATTTCAGTCCTTCACGGCGTAGTTTGTTACCAGTTGTTTTCTTGGTGACTATGGTCCCAGCTGCCTTGAGATCATTGACAAAATCCTCCCGTGTAGTTCTGGGCTGATTCCTCACCGTTCTCATGATCATTGCAACTCCACGAGGTGAGATCTTGCATGGAGCCCCAGGCCAAGGGAGATTGACAGTTCTTTTGTGTTTCTTCCATTTGGGAATAATCGCACCAACTGTTGTCACCTTCTCACCAAGGTGCTTGGCAATGGTCTTGTAGCCCATTCCAGCCTTGTGTAGGTCTACAATCTTGTCCCTGACATCCTTGGAGAGCTCTTTGGTCTTGGCCATGGTGGAGAGTTTGGAATCTGATTGATTGCTTCTGTGGACAGGTGTCTTTTATACAGGTAACAAGCTGAGATTAGGAGCACTCCCTTTAAGAGTGTGCTCCTAATCTCAGCTCGTTACCTGTATAAAAGACACCTGGGGGCCAGAAATCTTTCTGATTGAGAGGGGGTCATATACTTATTTCCCTCATTAAAATGCAAATCAATTGATAACATTTTTGACATGCGTTTTTCTGGATTTTGTTGTTGTTATTCTGTCTCTCACTGTTCAAATAAACCTACCATTAAAATTATAGACTGATCATTTCTTTGTCAGTGGGCAAACGTACAAAATCAGCAGGGGATCAAATACTTTTTTCCCTCACTGTATGCACACCCAGTAGGCAGGCGAAAGTCGTGCATGCATCATGCAGGCGTAAAGACGGCTCGAAGGACCGTGGCGACGTGTGTGCAGCGGCGTTATGGCGGAGTGAGAGGGCATATAAGCAACGGCTTTATGGGGCATTCACATCGTTAAGGTGGTGCACCGTGAAATGGTTGCACGAGAGTAATTTTAACCGAATGCCTTGCGTGGTGTTTGAGCATCTTCAGGGATCTGTCGCCCAAGTTGTTGATTTACCATTCCAGCAACACAATCCTCAAGCTCCTCATTGTCCACTGTCGATCCACTGCTTGATGGAGACTGACAGGATCAACACACCGGTCATATTTATTGGAGTTGGCACCATCGCCATATTTCACTGGGACA